GCGTTAAACACCCACGCACGCATACACACATTATTGAAGCATTAAGATGACTTTTGATATTCCAAGGCTATTATTTAAATGATTGGTTGGAAATACCCAATATGCAAAAGGAATATATATGTAACATGTTTGCGTGCCACTTTATAATGAACTTGCCAAATAATAAATGAAATGTCTAAATAAAATAATCAAGCATCCTACCTTAGATATATCTCTGAACATGTATACAATGGATAACCTGTACAGGAATATTTAAATGCATTGTGGGGCGGTTGGGAAGCCTACTGGTTTTTTTTCAAGGTAATGGAGAAAGTGATTTGGGTTTAACACTGCTTTAAACAGTATTTCAGTTTTGTCACAGCGTGTCAGCTTCATGTTGGATGAAGTTTACCACTTTGATGAGACCCGTGAAGATCCGGGGTAGAACAGGTCTTCAGCAGCCAATGCTTGCCATAAAAGATGACTATGCTTGTCGTAAAAGGCAACTAACGGGATCGGGTGGTCAGGCTCACAGACTTGGTTGATGCAGGTCATTGATCTCAATTGCGTGGATCGATGCTCATGATATCAATCACTGGATTGTCTGGTCCAGACTCGATTTTTTTACAGACTGCTGTCATATAGCTATAATATTGCTGAGTGCGGTGTAAAACAACAAACCAACCAACCAAACAATGTTGACAAACGGAAAACATAAATATGGCACACCGGGAATCAAACCAACGATCATAGGTTTGGAATACAACTCTGAATTGCAGTACCTTAGATGACTGGGCCACTTGAGGTACAAAATTAAAGATGCAATTAGTTCTGAACGTCTCTTTGGATTTAGCTCTCTCCAGCATGAGACCCCCAGTAGATTCCTTTCTTCTTTTATTTATACCAGCACGATCTGTCAACGCAGCCCGCAGACTGGCCCCAGCTGATAACACAATACTGATACTACTTCCCTCACTGCTAATTACCGCCACTAATTACATTAGGGTGTTTGTGTGACTGACACAGTGTTTGACTTAACATAGTTACTGTAGATTGCCTTGCTCCAGGGCAGGCTGGGAGACATGCTGATAGAGCTTAACATGGCTCCACTTCTACCACGTAAGATGTACCATATTTGATGCATTGGGCGTTCTAGTCCTGATGGGACTATCCAGAGGATTGCATATGGAACTTGTTCATCTCAAAGTGTGCCTCCTAAATACTACTCTCATGTGACTTTACAGATAGTTTCAGCCTGTTAGTACTTTTTTTATTTGTTGATAGGAAAAAATGGCAGTAGTTTTCTGGTGTTTTTTTGTCGACACAGTGAAATGATTTGAGGTGATTGTATTGGCCATTACATTACATTACATTACATTACATTACATTACATTACATTACGTTAAGTTATACGTTACATTGTTTCACAGTCCCATGCATATCCTTGATATCTTGAAAATTATTAATTTCAGTTTTATTTTTTATTTATAGATGAATAGGTATTTTTTTTAGGCTCATTGAAGTAATTTCTAAAAACCTAAATGTCTTTATATAAGCATGTCTATATAAATTCATCATTGCTATTTTACTATCAATCTGGCATAGGAGAAACCTTTGATCCCAAATATGTATGGCATTACAGTATTCAAAACTGAGCCTGAAAGTCAAGGGGTCACATCTCTAGCACTGTAGGTTTAGTGTGGCGCTAGCTGAAAATGGTAAAATAAAAACTCAAGCACCCCCAAAATGTTTTGTACTGTATTATGTTTTTGATGGTTGATGAATTGTTGTAATACCCTTTAGGCCAGTGATGAATGCAGTCATGGGAGGGAAGCCTGGGTGTGTGGCATGACATCAATAACTTAGCAGCCCTCCTCCATGTTTCATTTTGGTAGTCCATAGTTTTCAGGAACTCGTTTCTATGAGTAACCAGCGGCCAGAATGTGTCGAGAACGGTAGCACGGTGATGGAGCTTTCTGGGTCTAAATGGATCAGAGATAATATTTGGTCTTCGGGAGAATTTGCTGGTTTGGGGTGAAGGCTGTTTTTGTCCCCTCTGTTGACTATTGTCTGGATGCTGTGGTGGATTTTGTGATGGCTGTGTGAACAGGCCCTGTGTGACTCATCTGTCAGAGTCAGAAAGGGGTGATGGCTTTTATCATGGCTTACCATACATTTCCTTTTAAATAATTGAGGATTGATAGTTTTTGTTTTCGTTGAACTTTTGTTTCCCTTTTTGAAAGGCAAACTTATGGTAATGTTCATAAGTTTCTGATTTGAGATATGAGGTTGATGACATAGTCAGTAATATTATTGTCATATCAGGAATGGTTCCCATCTCGTTAATGTAAAATCTTTGTTCTCATTACCGCTAAACAGAGATCTGAGGACATACAGGTCACGTCAGAACGACTATTTGGCAGTCTTCATATCTAGTGGTTGTGAGAATAATAATGATGATGATGATGATGATGATCATCATCATCATCCATTTATGCTCCATGCATAAGCATGCTCTAAACGCTTAGATTTTATTACCCTGGTCAATGGATCAGTGTGCACTCAACAATCATTCTCAACTCCCTGGGGAATATACTACCCAAGCTGCCTGTTAGGCGCTAGAAGGTTGCCACCTCATCCTAGGTACCCATTCACTGCTGGGTGAACAGAGGCACAATTTAAACAAAGTCACTTGCCCAAGGAGACACCACATGCGCTTCATGTGCTTCAGAGTGAAGAAATATTTCCTCATATTTTGAGTTCCCAAACCTTTTCAGTCCTGTTGACCATGTCTACTTGATTAATGAAAAATATAGATAATAATATAATCAATAGGCTTGAATATTATCAATACGAATGCAGGCGTTTTGACAGTCATATTACAATGCATTAACTTAGGTCACTAAGTCATCAAGAGTTCATTCCAGTTACTGTTTAACCCAAGATTAAGGCTTTCATTATTACTCTCTTTATTGCACAGTTGTTTTCTACACTGATCTTCTCTCTGGTAGTTATAATGCTTGTGTCATGTGCAGAAGGGGAATTCCATTGTGAAGTACTTAGGTCACATATTACTTTAGGTTGTCTAGTCGTTGATTGTCGCTCAATGTCTTCCTTTAATCACAGGTGATGGTCAGGTAAATACCAGAAGGTAAGCAGTCAAATTGCCTATCTAGTTGATTGAAGGGTATCTATCTTGTTGCCATGTAGCTGCTAAAATAATGATGTTAATCTTTGAATGGTTGGCAAATTCACTTTTTAATTGGTAAGTCTTAAGTTCCAGGCAAATGAGTTAGGTCAGCTACACATGAGTTAGTTAATGGTACAGTGCGTTAATCAGCTCCCTCTGCTTTTATTGTGACATGTGTGTGGCAGGTAGTTTGTGGTTCCATGAATGTGGTAAAGCAAGATGTTCTATCATAAACTTAACATGCACCTCATGTCTAAACAGTTGTCGGGGCGGTCGGGTAGCCTAGTCGTTAAAGCGTTCGCACGTCACGCCGAAGGCCCGGGTTCGATTCCCGACATGGGTACAATGTGTGAAGCCCATTTCTGGTGTCCCCCGCCGTGATATTGCTGGAATTTGCTAAAAGTGGTGTAAAACCATACTCACTCACTCTAAACAGTTGTCAATGTGTTTCACTCAGAAATGATCAGCAGTGAGGCATATGACATGTTAGCAAGCTCCATCTCACTGTGTGACACCTTGGCAACCCCACAGGGTAGAGCGCAGGGAACAGTTATCACTGTAAGGAGCTTTGTGGCTAAGACGTGCCCATTACACTACAGTCTGTTGTTGTGATTGGCTTATGCTATCTTGGGTAAAGGTCTCTACACATCAGATAAGTGACAAAATAATAGACTGGCAAGGGTTTATGGACACTTTTAAGTTTATTTCTAAATATTTATGGAAAAACATGATGATGTGGTTATTCAAGTTGGACCATTCATTCCGTTAAAAAAATAGTTTTCTTTTTGAAAATGCCCCACAAACTACTGTATGTTTACCAGGGTGTTAAAAAAAACAGAAATAATAATTATTTATGTACCTATTAACACGATGAAGAAGAGCAAGTTGCTTTTCAGGGAATTCTAATAAGTGTAACAATTAAACACATGCATTAAAGTGGTACTGGTATTCATGTTTATACCTTGGTATGCTACCCCATGAAGATTCTTGTCTTCAGCAACCCATGCTTGTCCTAGGAGGCAACTATTATCATTGGGATCAGGTGGTCAGGCTCGCGGACTTGGTTGATGCATGTCATCGTATCTTAGATGCGTGGATCAATGCTCATGATGTCAATTCTGGAAAGTCTGGACCAGACTTGAATATTTACAGACAGCTTTCATATCACCAGAATATTACTATGTGTAGCATAAAACAGTAAACAAACAGACACTATAAATACAAAAAAACAGGACTAAGATGAAAAGAACATGACAACAAAACTAGATGAAACTACTTCAAGGAACTACTATACTCACATCAGTGTAATGTTGCCATACTTTGTGTACATGCAGACCGTCTCCGTTGTGTAGTGGATAGAGAACCTGCCTGGAGAGCAGATGGTAAGGGTTCGATCCCACGTCATACCAAAACACATTAAAAGATGGTACTTGTTGTTACCCTGCCTGGTGCTTGGCATGCATGGGATAAAACAAGGACTGGTCGGCTCGGAGTCAGTATACCGTGTCTGATTGGGGTATTCATGTTAAAACTGCAGCATAGTATCTCAGTGGGCTAGCACTATAAAACCAGCATCAGTCTGGACATTTAACAGCCACACACGTAATGTATGCACATCACTGTAATTGCAATAATCTTGAATGCAATGTTTAATGCCATTATACCTCACCTTATGTAGGGGCGGTCGGGTAGCCTAGTGGTTAAAGCGTTCCATTTCTGGTGTCCCTGACCGTGATATTGCTGGAATATTGCTAAAAGCGGCGTATAACCATACTCACTCACTCACTCACTCACCTTATGTATATGCGACTTTCTCTGTTGTTTTTTTCAGATAAAGAGCGTCAGGAAGACCAATGAGTTTTTGTCAAGAATCTATCCACAATTATTTGAGTATGCACTAGTTGTGGGCCTACTACCCAAGTCAGGCGTGGGATACAAGCCATACGTCATACACAAGTTCCCTGAAACGGTGGGTGAACTCTTCTATTTGTGAACATTAGTACTTGGAGTACATTAGAGTTGGACATTGCAGATATGTTTCAGTTGTTTGAGTTTAATAGTTCTTACATGCTGTTTTCATTTTCACCACCAAGCTATTTCAGGTCGTGCGTTAATATAGTGAAGTGGAAACTGTCGATGTTTGTGTGAAATGACTACATCGCCAGATGGAAGCAGGAAAAAATAAGCGTATGATGGATGCTAAAACATGACGTCCCTATTGTGTCTTTCATCTTCAAGTCATCGTCCATGAGCTGTTTCAGAACTTGGTGAAACAAGACAACTTTTGAACATAATTTAAAAACTATCATGGAATGTTTTAAAATATATCCTCGCGTACTCACGTTTTCGAGCCCCTAAGAAGTATTTTTGATTACGTGTCTAATAACAATCCCAATACACTTAATTAAGTCTTAACTTTGAGAACATTTAATTCTGTTAACACTTGGATGGTCAAATGACCATGTCTTGTTAATTTTATAGTGATAATGCCTCACTGAGCGAGAAGAGTCTATCAGGCTCCATCTTGTTACCGTCACATGATTTCAAGCTTAAAAGTAGATGCACAACATATTCAGTAACATGACATTACAGACAGGAAGTTTACAGCTATGTCATGTAAAGCCTGACAATTCACTGTGCAGAGTTGCATCCCATGGATGTGCTAAAAAGCTATGGGTTCGAATCCTGTTTTGCGATTAGGTACTGTAAATCTGGAAATTAATGCGACATTGTTATTTATACTTGTTACAACTGTTGCTCAATAAACCGTGTTTGTGTTAATATTCAAATTGGTGTTTCCGCTATCCAGAGTGTGCAGTGAGGCCATCTTGTTGTTGATTAAAAATTAATTAATGCAAACAAAGACCACTCGCATTTTTCGCATTTAATTCGAGCTTGTGTTAATTTCAAGATTTACAGTATTCTTCCAGGTTTGTGAACACCATTCCCCTGGTCATGGGTTTTACTTTAACGTCTAAGACGTGCATCACTTTAGTTACATACTGTGATATAACTCTTTCAACACTAGTCCACCAGAAATTTTACTGCTATGACACAGAGTTCCCAGAGAATCATCAAGGAAATTATCCACTTGTAAATCATCCAAACTTGCTCATATTGTTTTATGATCATTAAATGAGGACAGATAAAGCTGGTAGTAAGTCTGGTCTCACTAGAACACACATCTATGATAATGAGTTCAAATCCTGGTGGCCCTGATAATGTTTCTAGGTTTGTCAGCTCCATACCCGTGCTCATAGGTTTGACCAAGTGTTTGACATTTGAGACCTGCATCACTTTCCTCCCATATTAAGCTGGCACTCTGGAACTGGAATAATGTTCTAAGCGAGGTTGACCCAACTCACTCACTCACTGGAACACATGTCAGATAGTTCTGTCTTTCTTTTTGGATTATGAATTGTAAAACAGTTTTTGAGACAAAAGACATCTTCTGGGATCATGAATGGTGACAAAATGAAAGAAATACAATAGTTTCTTTATTAAATTGCCAACATCTGATCAAGAGCTTTTTAGTAGCTTTCTTGCAGCTTGCAGCACTGCTGTGTTCTAGCACTCCATCAGCCAATCAGCTTCCTGTGTTAGCTATATTGACCAATCAGTTGCAAGAATAAATGGCCCCTTACACCTCACTTGAATTTGTTTCAGTTGGATGATGTGGTAAGATTTTTTACTATGTTAACATATGTTTTGCACCTTCTTGAGCTCGGCGCAGCTCTCATAGCAAGGAGTTTTGGCATCAGCATTAGGCAGTGCTTTTACAAGGGGACAATGGCTTTTGCATGATGAAGATGATGATATATCTTGATGCTATGTGTATCAAAAGTAACAACACAAGGCATTGGAAATATCATAAAACTACTTATTAATTTTATTGTTTTTATGCAGTCCCATGTCGGAATTGTTTCATATACCATAGCAGATAATTACACAAGGTAACTTTGGAAATCTTTGAAGGTATTTTTTTCTTTCTTAAAAGACAATGCTGTACTAAACAAACAGTTTTCTAATGCCTGAAGTTTTGATGCACATTGCAGACTGGATGTGAAGGATTATTTAGTGTGATACAAGAAATTATCATGAAATTTATAAAAAAATATTATTCACTTCAACAGCGGGCATACAAAGTAGGTCAGGACGGCAACTTGCTTGCTTGTACCAACATGGTAAGTTTGGTATCGTGGGTTGTTGTTTGTCTTGTTGACAAGCAGTGAAATAGACAGCAGCGTGTTCATTTCACTAGTTCCGTTTGTACATGTGTGCACCTGTTTTACGAGCATTTCATTTTTATTTTATGACATTTTTTCACTTAAAATGATTGTGGTTTGGTATGTTATTTTTTCAATGGTTGCTGGTGTAGCTTTCTGTTTGTGATTTCTCATTTTATTTGCTGGATTGGTTTGCTGTTATGTCAATTTCCAGGTAATTTGTGATATTGTGTATATTCTCTTCACAGAATGCTACCTTGTTCTACAGCATGCGTACATACAAGCAATATGCATGTTGGTATGGTAGTATTGTGGATGCTTCATTACATATATCACACATAATGGGATTTGCTTGAAGGTAGTTGCCATAGTTTCAACAGACTTTTAATTTTAAATTGTGCATGTTTATGAATGAGATATTTTTTTAACAAAGAAGAATATATTCATTTATTGGACAACATATGAGTATATACTTGACAATTATGGTGTGACGTTTCTCTGAAAATTTGTTATGTCCCAATATGTTTCGTCATTAGGATCTTATTGTGAGGTCATGTATGGATATCAAATTACGTATAATGAGGAAATGTGAAAAACTTATATAATGAAAATGTATGTAAAGGACTTCTCAAGTAAAGGACAAGATGTGAGAAATGTTTGCATATCATTATGAAAGTTACAAGTTGTGTTCATATGAATGAATCCGGTGAACATCTGGCGTAGAATAGGTCTTCAGCAACACATGCTTGCCATAAAAAGCGACTGTGCTTGTTAAAAGAGGCGACTAACGGGTTTTGGGCCGTCATGCTCGCTGACTTGGTTGATGCATGTCAGTGTATCCAAATAACGTGGATCGATGCTCATGATGTCAATCACTGGATTGTCTGGTCCAGACTTGATTTTTTACAGACCGCTGTCATATAGCTGGAATATTGCTGAGTGCAGCGTTAAACGAGAAACAAGCAAAAAACATCATATAAATGAGAATTAAACTTGATTCATGTTAAAACTTGTATGAATGAGAATTGAGGGATTTATCTAGACCTGCTCAGGGGCCAATATTCAGTCCCAAGCCTGCAGCATATGTCTGAGAAAATTCCCAAATTGGAATTACAAATTTCCTGGTTAATGTTAATGATGTTATAACTAATGTTATGGCTTTGTAGCGGTGACTTGTGTATCACAGATGACAGGCACATCACCAAAAAGAGGAAAAGGCTTTAATGCTTTTTTTAACATTATTGTATTGTTAAAGTACCTCAGAACTTAAGAAAAAAATAACCTTTTTAAAAATCTCAGTTTTTAGCAAAAAAAATGTTTTTTGCCAAGGACACTTGGTTTAGAATGCTAAATGAATCCCTGGAGTTATTGCAACCCTAAATGAATAGGTGAAACTAAATGTACCAAATGGTTGATATTAGAGGTTTTCGGGAAGCGTTTTTCTAATATTTGAACATGGGCAAGTCTTTTACCCATGCTGAATTTCTACTATTTACACAGAAAGCAGTACAAATGTATTGTAGTACAAATGTATTGCAATATATTCTTTTTGCGTCACAAACTTATGGATTTCATTAAAACATTGGCAAGTGTATGGAAACAAAGACCAGCATTAGAAATTGGCACTAGTCCTGTAGTCCTTACCAAACTGCCCAATAGTAAAGGTATCCTAAGGACTTTTAGAAATTGGCCCATTTTAAGTGGTTTTGCTATATGTTATCATTATAAGGACTAGTGGGCAAAAACTGTTAGTTTCTAACCCTGAAGACTACATGTCACCTATTGGAACATATCAATATTTCAACATTTTCAAAACTTAAAGTGGGCCAAAATGTACCCTCATCCTACCTCATCCTTTACTACGTAACTGAAGTCAATCACTGGATTGTCTGGTCCAGACTCGATTATTTACAGACCGCCATCATATAGCTGGAATATTGTTGAGTGTGGCATTAAACAAGAAACAAATAAACTACATTGGCTTTGGTTGACCCTCAAGTCCTTCATAGCGTATTATTAGACCAATCTTGCCTATTGGACAATGTTAAATAATGGATGGCTTCTGCTGATGACAGTGTAATGGAAACCTGGTAATCCAGGGCTTGGTGGGCCCTCATTTCTAGAGTCTTGGATTACTACAGAACTATAAATATATTTCTAAAAGTCTGACTTGTACCATGGGTCACCTAACTGAGAGGCTTAAATTCAGAAGGTAGCCTCAGATGTGAGGATGGAATGATGGGCAAATGGTGACACCGTCTCAAACCTGAGTTTGAGAAAACGATACCGCCCCTGGGCTTGGCCTTTCGCATCGTTGCACCAGGGCACTGTCGAGGTCTGTAAGCTGTTTAAAGGGCAAGTTCACACGGAAATCAACCAATTTTTCTTGTACTTTTTCCACATTAAAAGTGTTAACATAGAAGTGTCATAGACAAAAATATAAAAACATCAAATTTAATTAACATATTTTTTGCATTAAAACGATTTATATTTTTCACATTTACCAAGTGTTCTATTTCCATTACCAAAACACCATGGCTTATGCCCCTTGCAATATGACGTCATTGGTGCCAATTGATAAACATTATGACGTCATCATGCTTTGTTAGAGCCGCTTCACGTGGTGTAGGTACAGTTTTGTGATTCTAGCGTCTCAGATGCCAGCCAGAATTGTGTTATGCTGAGTCACCACTGCGCCGGAGTGTGTCGTAGACCATGTTGTTTTACCGCAAACTGGTCCTTGATATCTTTTGCGTTGAGAATAGACAGGGACCCAGTTGAATTGGCACCAATTACGTCATAATCTAAGGGGGATAACTCAGGCCTATTTCGCTCGTAAAACGAAGGCTTCATAACGGCATATCATTTTAACACTATTGTGAGCTTCCTACATTCACTGTGAAAAAAAATGAGTGTATATTTTCAAACACAGATACTAACTAATTCTAAAATTGCGTTTTGTTTAGAAAAAGAAAGAAAGTGATTTTTGCGTGTACACTTCCCCTTTAAGTAGACCCACAGGACAGATAATCCAGGAATCTGTGCATCACTGTAAATAATGAAGTGACACCCATACTGGTATTACAGGCAAACAGCCCCAGTACTACGTGCTGGCAGTCGCAGCCAACTTAGTGTGTGGTTGGTTTAGGTAACTGACTTGATAGGATATTGTGGTATATTGCAGTGTCGTTACAGCGCAATACTCACATTATTGTGTCTTGTAGACCCACTACATTCTCCCACCCATGAAGATCCGGGGTAAGATAGGTCTTCAGCAACCCATGCTTGCCGTAAAAGGCGACTATGCTTGTCGTAAGGTGACGAACGCGATCGGGTGGTCAGGCTGCATGTTGTACCCTGATGTTAATTTGAACCCTCATCAGTCACTGGATTGTCTGGCCCAGGCTGCTGTCATATAGCTGGAATATTGCTGAGTGTGGCGTTAAACAACAAAACAAACAAACAATGGCTGATTGTGCTGTATTCTGCCTTATGGCTTGGGTTGCTTTTCATGCTGTCAACCAGTGGTTTGCCTGGCCCAGACTCGACTAGTAGTTAAGATGGTATCATCCACTCATTCACCATGAAGATCTGAGGCAGAATTAGTTTCCAGCCAGTCGTAAAAGGTGACTGACGGAATCGGCTTGCCAGACTCTGTGACTTTGTTGATGCATGTCATTGCGCACTGCGGTGTAAAGAATACCCCCCAAAACAACCCATTCACCTTGTTAAAAGCTGAGGCATTCATTATACAGTGATCGCTCGCTATTGCGCTCTTCGATAAAGCGCTACTTCGGTTATTACGCGCGGTAACGCATGGCTCCCAAAATTTATGTACACTTTTAATACTGAGAGTTTTACACAGACATGATTGTATTGTTGTTCGTTGTTTATTTGCACATAACGCTTCTCATTGCATAATCAACGGTTTATCGCTGAATGGAGTTCTAATAATCTGTTTGAAAACATCGACGGCAGGTCCCGGAAATACGATTGTTCTACTAGTTAACTTTTCACACTATACATCCTTTGATCTTAGAAGCGCATGCATGCAATAAAAGAGAACCACAAGTGAAGTTTATATTCTTAATTAGTGGGCAATCCAATTTAAGGCTAAACTGTCACACACATGTAGTTGCTGTCACAACACGGCGGTCATTCCTTTCGTAATCGCGGTTTCGTAACATCGCCTGTAACGCATGTAGTGTTAGTTTTCAATGAGTCAGTCAGTATTTATTCTTGTCCCTATGATACTGGAGGACATTTGTATGTGTATACTTGGTGTGATTGATTTCATTGCCTGATGAACAATAGATAAGTGTTGATGCTTTTATGTATTGGTAATAGCTAGGTAACTACATGACTGTGGATCAGCATGCTAACTACAGTTTATGGCACTGGATACTGCCAGGCATTGATTTTTGTATGTCAGGCACCATTGTAATCTAGTGGTTGGTGGTTAATGCCATTATAGTGGAATAAACAGGATTCGGAGGCTATGTGTCTAGACTGGCCCGACAACTTGGCTACTCGTATCTGCTCAAGCTACAAACTGCATTTTGAATTCTGCCACAAATCTTGCAGTTGTGGCAGCGGAAGGCCAGTGGAAATGTAAAGTGTGACAAATTTTCAGTGACACATTAAAGAGATCTGTAGATAGTTTGTGCGATACTTACAGTGACTTTTAAGTGGTTGAAGTTAACCTGAAACGTTTACAAGCACACATAGTTACAACATATTATGACACCCTCTGAAAAGCCTGAAATTCTGCTTACCCTGAGGATCATTTTATGTCTGAGAGATTTACTGACCAGGTCGTGAGGGCTTGTGCTAATTTCTGACCTTGCAGTTTGATTATCGTTCAGGTTTTTGCAAAACATTGTTATATCATTACTATTTTTTTGTATTGTTAGCCCTACTGTCCTTAAACTTGATATTAACATTATCTTAATCCTTATGATGTCAAATGTCATTCAAAGAAGTTGACAGTCTCTCAGGGCTACAGTTATAGTTCAGGATATTGTGATGATGGTTGTATGCCTGTTTATTATGCTCAGTTCCTAACTCACTGGATTGTCTGGTCCAGATTTGATTATTTACAGACCGCCATCATATACCGGGAATATTGCTGAGTGTGGCGTTAAACAACAAACAAACAAACAAAACAAACTAAGTGTACAATCCTGAGGTTTTACAGTTTCTGCATCTAAGATGTTTCAGTAAGGTCAAGGTTACACCAAGGTCAGAGTTTTGAAAGTTCTGTGGGGCTTTGTCCTGTGAGTTTTGTGCAGTGATGAGGCTTATTTCTAATGCAGAAGTTTTGTTCTACTCACCTATCTTCCTAAAGTGGAGGACCAAAATTGATCTGCTGCCCAAATAACTCTCTGTGAAGGTTTAACATAAGGGAAACCCCTTAAATCAATACTCCCAACCCCCAACCCCCCTAAAAATAAAATGAAAGAACATAATGTCCTCCTCTTTCCCAGCTTTAGGAAAAGGGTTTTTTACAGATACTTTATTTGGTGTATCATTGTTGTATTTTCAATTATTTATAAAGAAGACATAAATATGTAAGTTTCTTTAAAGAATATTGATAAAGGCCATGTTAAAAGCAGTTGAAACATTGTATCACGTTTCTTCAATGTCCGTTTGCCTGCGTCACTGAATGTCAAGCATATGCTAGCAGAGCAAGACTGTGACAAGCATCAGCTCCTCACTAGCTGGTTACTTCAACACTAGCCTTAGGGGGGATGATTGACCCAGCATTGCATTTTCCTGTATCGTGGCATTTGGTTGTCTTGCTTTTTTATTTCAATGAAAAAAAATTTGACCTCTGACTGACTGTTGAGCATAGCACAGCTGTCAAGCACTTGCTGGGATGAACTTCCTGAAGGAGAACTTATAAATGGTGGGCCTTGTGTATGTAATTTGTATTGATTCTGAATGATGTGAAGTTCTCTCAGGGCTGTACCCTACTTAGGAAGTCTCTCGTTATCTCTTTATCAGTATGTATCAGTACTGAGTTATATATAAGTGTTCGTCTGAAAAATTAGACAAAAAATGCAAAGGACAAGGTATTATTTGGGATAAGGTTTGTTCACTGAAAATTCCTATTAAAAATCAGGGGGTGGTCGGGTTAAAATGTTCACTTGTCTTGCCGTGAGTTTCAATTCCTGACATGGGTGCAATGTGTTAAGCCCATTTCTGGTGTTCCCTGCCATGATATTGATGGAATATTGCTAAAAGCGGAGTAAAACCATACTCACTATTAAAAATCAACCTTTTCTCATGAATTTTACCAACAACACTGAATTTAATATTGTTTTGAGTTGAAAAGAAATAATGATTGTCAGTGAGAGTTGACACTTGCTGTTAAATTCACAACATTTCAACATATTATCTCCACTTATGCTTTTTGGGGTTGTGATTTATGAAGAGGCCCACTTGATCATCATTAAACTGCAAACTTGCCTTACTTATATTTGTATGTTAGTGAGTATGGTTTTACACTGCTTTTAGCAAAATTCCAGCAATATCGCGGCAGGGACACCAGACATGGGCATCACACAATTTACTCATGTGGGGAATCGAACCCGGGTCTTGGTTGTGATGAGTGAATGCTTTAACCACTACACTACCCCATCGCCCTCTTATATTTGTAATAGGTTTGATGTAACATGGTAAATTGTGTCAAAGACTGATGGTTGTTTGTGTCAAAGATTGATGTTTGTTTGTGTCAAAGATTGATGTTACGTGATTCATTGTGTCAATGATTGATGTTATGTAATTGGTGGATTTTTTGTGAAGTTTGACATTAAATGGTTGACTGCATCAAACATCGACATTGCATGGCAGATTGGGTCGAGGATTGATGTCTAATAGTTGATTGTGTCAATGATTGATGTATAATAGTTGATTGTGTCTAGGATTGATGTAACATGAAGTGCCTGTATATTTTCAGATTGACAGCAATGTGTCGGTGCCACTGTTCTGTTTCCCAGATGCCCCAGAGTACAAGCCACCAACAGGCATCGTTGCTAGGTAACGGATTCTACTTTTCCTTTGAAGTACAGACCTGTTGTACCAAACAAGATCTGAGTGCGATGTAGTTCGCCGAGTTATATCATGCGCACTTGATATCTTGAGTATCAGAAGGTAGTCGACATTACATTATTGACCTTTTTCACACTTTCGCCATTTTGGATCGAAAACGAGGCTCGGTGAGCATAGCTCCATGCAGTGTGATTCGATAGGGAACAGAGAGCATATTGTGAAGGGGAACGCCATGTCCCCACATTTCACTGATGGACATGTCAAACAAAAAATGGTATCCACTGTATCTAATACAGAACATATTGCACATTTAATCCTGAGGTCCAACTAGGAAATGCATGTAATACACTGGAATTCGCATTTTTGCTGTCAGGATCCCGGAATGGAATCGAAAGGTGCATTTCAAGATACGTATTGCGAAATAGATTGTTTTATCATAACCTCGTTGGCATATGTGTGCGTTGTGATAATATCTTCAATGACAGAAGTTTTGTAACGTAAATGAACTGCATGAAACACGTCTGTGTATTTTGCTAATTTGCTCAGTCAACGCGTGGCTTGGTGAACTCGAGATCATCGATCATGTTTATTTCACGTTTCATAGTGGTGTTTGCTGCACCACGCACTATCGTTTTGCCATGAGTCAAGTTGACATAAGACATTTTTTCTGCTATGATTTTTATCCAAACATATTACAATATTAATGAAATTAGTTTACAAAATAACTCGTGTGTCAAAATAATATTCAGAAGGGGCGATAACTCTATTCAGTGTGTACAATGACAGATACTTTTCCTTCAAACATCACTTATTTACACAGATTTATTGGCGATTAAGATTGCACTGTGCACAACAGGGGTGGTCAGGTAGACTAGTGGTTAATGGGTTCGCTCGTCACGCCGAAGACCCGGGTTCGATTCCTGACATGGGTACAATGTGTGAAGCTCATTTCTGGTGTCCCCTGCCGTGATATTGCTGGAATATTGCTAAAAACAGTGTAAAACCTCGCTCACTCACTGTGCATGACAAAAGTAATAGTGTATGAAATGTTTCAAATAAGTTAAAATGAAACTTAAAATTAATAGAAATAGAAGACATATAATAATTGATACAAACATCACCTTCTTGAACACCCTGACCTAATCCTATATGATGATAGGGAATTGTGTACCAAAAGGAGGCTACTGATACAATTATCCTGAATAGTATGAACATGTCTTGATCAGATATAGGTACAGATAAAATAACAAAAGATGAAAAGGAATCAACTTAATCGGTAATCAAACCAAGATAAAATATATGTACCGGTACAAGTTATGTTGATGGAATGAGACAAAATAAAACATACCGGTATATCAATCACTGTAAAGAGGATAAAATATGTGATGTGTCATTTATGTCATCAAATTGAAAGCCAAATATAAGTTTGCTGTTCCTTTTAGTCATCGCAGGACAATGGTTAATTATTTGTTTGATTTTAGAATAAAAACCCTGTCAATAGAGTAATAAAAACAATGAAGGTTGCAGCCTGGGTCTTTAGATAGATTTTGTTACACATCAGTTCAGAGTGACAAGAATAAATTAAACTTGTCTTCTTTCAAACTTATCTATATTCTTTCTTTGACACTGAACATGAAACCCCTGGCTACCAAACTATTCATACACCAAATCTCTAAACAAAATTACGTCAGTAAGTGTGTCTGGTGTAAATAATGAAGTTCATGCAGATAAATGTATGATTTGATAATACTCATGACCAAACATAAATATCAAAGTATTCTTTTCATAAAGATTCAAAAATAAATATACAAATATATATTTACAGTCTATTTACACTCTTGAAAGCTGGATATATGTAAATGTTACATTGTTTATGAATTATCCAAAACTGATTATATATACCATATCATACATGTAGATTATCAAGTCATATTTAACGTTGAATATTATATTGCACGTAGAAATAACGACTTCTCTGCCTTTAATAGAAAAAGGGGCTTTGTTTACTCAAACTGCAAAATAACTTATTCACTTGATGTTTGCAACATAATTTGATGTACCATAAATACCGCATCTTCTTAATTGTATACATAAATATGCCTTCATCTGTACCATGATGTGGATTATGCCTTAGGCCTCCTCTGTACCATATCCTTTTGAGAAGTACCTGTATTCATAAAGCTGTACTGCTTTTCGAGTGCATATGTATCCTGTGTATAATGACTGAATAAAAATTTATAAAAAAAGAAGAAGTCATATTTAACAAAGAAAACAAACCAAAATTTTCATCTCTTAGTTTCTCACAATATAAGCTTGTTGATCGTTTGCTTTGGTTATTCAGACTTTTAAAAAATGAACATGGCATGTCCTTCGACTTGGCCCAGGTGTCTTTGTCAGTCAAAAGCACCTAATTCAAATTCCAGGAAAAATAATTTTCTTGCTTGTAAACAAATGGTACAATGTGTTTTCTTAGAATAGTTTTATTGAAACATCATGAGTCTGATAAATATTGGCCATGTGTCTGGTGAGTGAATGAATATGGCTTTTCACTTCCTTGTCTTATTTAGATGATATGTGACAGGAAGCACACTGTAACAAGTATGTTACTATCAGCAGAAAGCTCCTCCAGACATCCATCACGGGAGAGGGTTTCAGCTTCAGCATACATCTTCTCTGTGAAGAACGGAAATCAACAGAGTGGACTCTGTAGACTGTGTAGATATTTATTGTTTTGACTCTCTTGACTCAAAGCCTGAAATAAATAATTCAATAAGTATTGTAATAATATTTCTACTTCTATATTTTTTTTATGAACAATGCATATTCACCTTCTCAAAATATTACTTATTCAGAAAACAACATTCTTCTCTCCGAAATAGAGAAATTTTAGGAAAATAAATCACAGTGAATAACGTTACCTGCTACTTTAGAACAATCTTGAAGGTATCAATCTGATAAGTGCAAACAAGTTGGATTCCCCACATACATGATGTCCATACCTGGTGTCACCCGTCACCCATGATATTGCTTGTATATCGTTAAAGCGGTGTAAAACCCAGCTCACTCACTAACTCCTGTGTTGCCATGGGTCAACCATTATGAGGACAGGCTTCTGACTAAGACTCTCCGTCACAACACAACAGTACTTTTTCCTCACAAAATCAGACACATATCTCTGTTCCAATATAAAAATCAAAACCAAGTAACATTAGAGTGAGTGAGTATGGTTTTACGCCTCTTTTGGCAATATTCCAGCAATATCACAGCAGGGGACACCAGGAATGGGCTTCACACACTGCACCCATGTGGGCAATATGACCTGGGTCTTTGGTGTGATGAGGGGCAGTGGGGTAGCCTAGTGGTTAAAGCATTCACATTCGATTCCCCACATGGGTACAATGTGTGAAGCTCATTTCTCGTGTACCCCAAGTGATATTGCTGGAATATTGCTAAAAACACACTCACCATGCTCACTCATTCACTCATTGGTGTGATGATTTTAAATGATAATTATTTCCTTAGAGACTTGCGCAAGTCTACAGACAGCATTTGATGGCCACCTTGTCCTTCAGGCAAACTGAACAGGATGTACTTTTTTAAAGTGTTTGTTTGCTGTGTTCTGCATATAATGTCAGAGTAACAGTGGTTGTTAATCTTTTTATTTCAAAGATGGATGATTGCATGTTCAGTAGAAGCTGTATTTGATCATCTGTGAAGACAGTTATCATTGCTAACACCAGCAGTGTCACAGGTGGCTCAGTGGTCTTCATGTGCAGTACAGAGTTATGTCCTTTATCTGTATGGATCTGCTGGTCCTAGGTTTTAATCCCAGATGTTTACCCAGTTATGGTCCTTTGTCTGTCAGCACCATACCCGTGCATGATCATGGGCTACATCCATACATACATACGCTTTTAACATTATTCCAGTTATATCACGGCGTGTCAGCTTAATGTGGGGGGGAAGCCCAAAGTGATGTAGGTCTTAGACGTTTACCACTTCAGTGAAACTCACGAGCACGGGTATGGTGCTGACAAACCTAGAAACATAATTGGGGCGAACTGGGATTCGAATCCACAATCATAGGTTTCTGGCCTGCCTAAGGGACGCAACTCTGCACAGCAAATCGTGGCGCCTTAGACGACTGGGCCACCCGTGCCCCCACATTAAGCAGAATGTAATGTAAGCGAGAAACTGTTAGAGCAGCTTAGTTCCTAACTCAACCTTGCTCACCTCAACCTCTGGTTCGTTTGGTACAGGAATAAGTAAAAAAGGCTGCTGTTATATATTAACAAATTGTAAACATGCAATGGGGTTCAATGTCCTGTTCAAGATTGTTCCACTTATATTGTGATGTGCATGCATGCATGTGTGTGTGTGGCTACTTGTACAAGTCCGGACTAGCTGGTTTTATAGTGAGGTTCCATGCTTCAGTTTAACATGGACAACACACTCAGACCCAGTATACTGACTGACCAGTCCTTGTTTTTTCCCCTTTAAATGCCGAGTGCTAGACAGGGTAACAACAAGTATCATTGTTTAGCGTCTTTTGGTATGACACGGCTACAGGATCAAACTACTGACCTCCTGGCAAGATGCTCCATCCACTGGACCACGGAGGCGGTCAAAAGAGACTATTTCTCAGTGTTTATTTGTATGCAATCTCATTAAAATCAGATCTTAGTTTTCGCTACCGCTAAACAAAGATCTGAGGACATCCCATTACGGGTCACGTCCTTTCACGAATTTTGACCGACCAATGAAATGACTGACAAGAAATCGACATTAGCAAATCAGAAGGTAGCTTTCTCGAGCTTTACGACACTAGTTTCAAACTGGCGACTACGCTTTGAAACATATTTTGACGTATTCTCGATTAAAAAAATTAAACTGATAAGAAGAACGTTCTGGAATGGCTTATAGATGGCCTAGATTGTATGGATATAATCATAAAACCTGTTACTGTCGTTGGAATACCCCTTGTTAAATATTTTGTTGTTGCATGATTAGAAAACACATTCCGATTGTCACTTTCATGATTTGGTAAGCGACGTTCTGATTGGTTGGATGAAAGGTCGTTCTGATGTGACCCTTAATGGGATGTCCTCAGATCTTTGTTTAGCATAAGTGCGAACTATGATCTGATTTTAATGAGATTGATTTGGATGATTTGCCACATCATGGTATCTTGATGTGTACTGATGGAAACAAATACAAATATTTTAATTGTTAACTTGTTGATGAAAATCATGTGCAATATTTACGTGTTCTCTCATTTACTTCCACCAGAATATATCATCAGATGTATTTATATTCTAACCAAGATATTTTGTGTTGCAGTGAGTCCTACTCGTTTGTTCTGACCAACATCGATGGAGAGAGGGTGTATGGATACTGTCGCAGGATACAGGTAGGGCAATGACAGCTCATTCAAATTGTCAGAATAATTTGTGCAGCCACACAGGTTTATAGAACTACCATTACCTAACGCCTAAATCATCTTACAATTTGGACCTTCTTATTCATCACTTGTACTGGGCCAGGGTCCCATTCGAGTAGCACTGGTGACTTGTTGTAAAGAGAGTTGTGTCCCTTAGCTGTCCGGATCCGCTGGTCATAGGTTTGAATCCTGTTTCACAGCAGCAATGATCATTGATCAGGACCATACCAACGTGGTGGAGTTCACCTGAGAAGTAACATCAACAGCTTGTGTCCATGGGCTTTCCTCCAACATTAGTCCCGTGGGCACGCCAGAAACCTATGATCGGTTCGTATCCTGGTTCGCCCCGATTTTGTTTCTAGGTTAGTCAGCACCATACCTGTACTTGTGGGTTTCCCCAATGTGGTAAATGTCGAAGTCCTGCATCACTTCGGGCTTTCCTCCCACCTTAAGGTGACAAGCCATGATAAAACTGGAACACTATTCAAAGAGGTGTTAAACCCAAGTCACTCCTCCCACACTAAGCTGCCACTCTGTGAAATACTGTTTAAGTCGACTGTATTCCTGTTCCAGCCACCTGACTCAAATCTGCAGGAGGTGATCTGTATCATCAGCCCAGTGGATGCCTTCAACATGTACAATAAGGTAGGAGGGGACACAACCAGTTGGAGACCCCTGGGGATGCTGGGGAAAAAAATAGTTCTCTTTGATAGATTTATGAATTACATTAATGAAGTCATATATCAGCAGTCACTCAAGATTTCTTCAACTGATATAAGAAAATTTGTTATTTACCAAAATGTTGTCAATCTGAGAATACAATAACCCCAATCTAGGATAAATAAGTAGGTAAGCAGCTTCTTATCCTTGTTTTTTAAGGTAACTGAAATGTGAATTGGGTGGTCATTTTGGCTCACTAAATTAAAGATTAGGTGGCCACAGGTACTCACTGAACTAAAGATTAGGTTGTCATAGCAGCTCACTGAACTAAAGATTGGGTGGTCACAGGGCTTACTGAACTAAAGATTGGGTGGTCACAGGGGCTCATAGAACTAAAGATTGGGTGGTCACAGGGGCTCACTGAACTAAAGATTGGGTGGCCACAGGGGCGCACTTAACTAAAGATTAGGTTGTCACGGGAGCTCACTGAACTAAAGATTGGGTGGCCACAGGTGCGCACTGAACTAAAGATTAGGTTGTCATGGGAGTTCACTGAACTAAAGATTGGGTGGTCACAGGGGCTCATAGAACTAAAGATTGGGTGGCCTTAGGTGCTCACTGAACTAAAGATTGGGTGGCCACAGGTGCTCACTGAACTAAAGATTGGGTGGTCACAGGGGCTCACTGAACTAAAGATTAGGTGGTCACAGGGGCTCACTGAACTAAAGATTGGGTGGCCACAGGGCTTACTGAACTAAAGATTGGGTGGTCACAGGGGCTCATAGAACTAAAGATTGGGTGGTCACAGGGGCTCACTGAACTAAAGATTGGGTGGCCACAGGGGCGCACTTAACTAAAGATTAGGTTGTCACGGGAGCTCACTGAACTAAAGATTGGGTGGCCACAGGTGCGCACTGAACTAAAGATTAGGTTGTCATGGGAGTTCACTGAACTAAAGATTGGGTGGTCACAGGGGCTCATAGAACTAAAGATTGGGTGGCCTTAGGTGCTCACTGAACTAAAGATTGGGTGGCCACAGGTGCTCACTGAACTAAAGATTGGGTGGTCACAGGGGCTCACTGAACTAAAGATTAGGTGGTCACAGGGGCTCACTGAACTAAAGATTGGGTGGCCACAGGGGCGCACTTAACTAAAGATTGGGTGGTCACAGGGGCTCACTGAACTAAAGATTAGGTGGTCACAGGGGCTCACTGAACTAAGGATTAGGTTCAACAGGGTGTCATAGATACCTTCTTGTTTGCTTGATCCAGGTCTGGTTGCATGTGTAGTCTTTCATGATACTGATAATTACAAATACCAACTTTCTCTCATTTTGTTTTGTTTAGTTGTTGGATGAGATTGAGAAGCGCAGAGCGACCTCCACTGACCTTGCACAAGAACTGATTGCAGCATCCTTTGGTCGCCCTCTACCGGGGCCTGGCAAGGTTGTCAACATCCGAACACTGGTGAGAGAGATTTGTATGTCAAGGATGGAGGCTTGAATGATGTTCCACTATTGATTATGATCAATAACCCTGTACCAATGCAATAGCTGATGTAGGTGTCAATAATTAATAGTGAAGAAATACAGGTAACTTTGACTTGTAATTTCCTAAAAGGTATGCAAAGTATTATTACCCAATAATCATTGATCATTTAAATGAAAAAGATCATAATCAGTGTTGAATGATATGCTTCCAACCACAACAAATACGAAATATCCCCTTCAAGGGGATTCTGGGACGGTGGGGTAGCCAAGTGGTTAAAGCATTTGCTCGTCACACCGAAGACCCAGGTTCTATTTCCCTCATGGGTACAATGTGTGAATCCCGATTTCTAGTGTTCCCTGCCTTGATATTGCTGGAATATTGCAAACAGTGGCGTAAAACCATACTCACTCACTCACTCATGGGGATTCCAGGTTAGAACTGATCCCCAGCAACCTATGCTTGTTGTACAAGATGATTAATGATTTGGGGGGTTAGGCTCAATGTACTAAAACATCAATGACCATACAGTCAGTCAATGATTTGTCTGCTCCAGTCTCAATTATTTGAAGGCCATGATCATATAACTGGAATATTGCTGATTTTGGCACAAAGTTTGTTTGTTGTTTATCTCCACACTCAGCAATATTCCAGTTATGTGATGGCGATATGTAGATAATCGAGCCTGGACCAGACAGTCCAGTGAGTGACATCATGAGCATTGATCTATGCAATTTGGATATGACATGCATCAACCAAGTCAGCGAGTCTGACCACCCGATCCCGCTTACGACAAGCAAGGATTGCTGAAGACCAGTTCTAACCCGGATCTTCACAGGGAATCACAAACAAACTTTCTTAGCCTTATAATAATATTCTCTTGTGACAAAGGTTACAATTTATTTGTTAGCAATTTGAAGAACGAGTACGTACTGGGTGTGCTCCTTGAATTTCATGTTCAGTGTGGTAATCAATAAGCTCTGGTCTATGCCACTGAGTCAGACTTTGTTCAAGTAGTTTGCGGCAAACTATGAAAGAACACATGCAAATTATCATGCTTCTTTTTTCAGGACAAGAAAGGAGAACTGGAAACACTGTTCTTGAACAGGCCGTCAGATGTTCGCAGGGAGAAGGTGAGGTCATATAGGATAAGTTCACTAATGAAGTCAGATGAAATATAAACTCGGAGAAGGAAGTAATAAAATGTCTTTTACATTAGAAAAATTATTAACAACTCATCCACTGAAAAAAAATTCCAAGAAAATGTTTTTAAAAAATGCAGTCGTAGTAATGCAGGATAAGTATACAAATGTAAAAAATTGTTAGATTTTACTAATATTCATCAGACTGTTGGCAAAAAATGAAAATGACACAAAAATACATTGTTGCAAGACATTTTTTAAGTTAGGCTTATATTTTAATTAAAAAGTATCTGGTTGATATCTGAAAGTTAAGATATCTAGTTGTCAATCAAAATCCCAGGAATTATGTCCAATTGTTGTATGTGTTGCAGGTCAACTATGAGTGTCTGCTGAGCTACCTAGGGACGGACAAACTCATCAAGGTGTTCTCATCGCTTATGATGGAACGACGTATCTTGCTGTGTTCAAACAGCCTCAGGTAGGACGTGCTGAGTAATCTTCAACTTTTTGTATTTTTTGTATTTTTCAATCTTCTTTTGGTTTGTTATCATTATTATTTAAAATACTTTTTTGTATTACCCCCTGGAACAAATCCCAGTCTACCCAGGCTAAACCCCCATAGTGCATCAATAAAGGAGGCTTTAATTAAATTTGTGTCTAGAAATCTTCAAAATTAAGTGTGTTCATGTTGGAATCTAGGATGTCAGAAAATAGAAGAACACATAAGCCATAGAAAATGCAAACAGTCACCTACCTCTGTGACGTGACCTTGTGTGTGACCGTGACCTTGTGTGTGACCATGACCTTGTCTGTGACATGACCTTGTGTGTGACCGTGACCTTGTCTGTGACCATGACCTTGTCTGTGACCATGACCTTGTATGTTGCAGCATTCTGACACAGACGGTGCATGCCCTAGTGGCCCTGCTGTATCCATTCAGCTGGCAGCACATCTACATCCCCATCCTCCCGTCCGACATGATTGATGTGTGCGCCTCCCCAACGCCTTTCCTCATCGGTATACTCACATCTCATCTACCTCAAGTACTTGAGCAGGAGGAATTATTGGAGGAGGTATGTGGCCATAGCAGTGTATCAAAAACCATGTGGCCTTGACACTATCAAATAACAAATGGCCCTAAAACTGTATCGAATAACAAGTGGCCCTGGAACTGGATGAAAACGTTTCTAACTGTAGGAAGAAATGGTTTCTTTGCCATGAAACTCTTTAATATAGGGGAAGATTGTATATGCCAACTTTGCATCTGAGGTCATACAATGCTCAATTCTACTGGAGGACATCACATGTTGATGACAATGCAACATTCCAGAGTAATATCATTTTTTTTCTGTCCACATTAAAAGAGATTTATGAAAGCATTGTTTTGGCAATGTTGATAAACATTCTGTGAATACAAAAGGCTTCAAAGGTTTAATTTCCCTGGTGTTGAATATACATCACACCCACAAATCTTGATGCGCAAAACTGTCTATATCTTACACATGTTAAAATGCAGCTGCCCAAGTTTTTCAGGCAAGAAGCAGCCTTGTCAGTATGACACCTTGTGTGTGCAGGTTGTGATTGTAGACGTGGACAAGAAACAGTTTGTGCGGAGTGTCGGAGACGAGGCCACGCTGCTCCCCAAGAAGCTTCAGAAGGCTCTCAAGACGGCAATAAACATGTGCAAGATAGATAGTGGTGAGAGACATCGCACTTTTGAGTGATATTTTTGTTTCTGACTGTTAATATCTTGAAGTTGACATACAGTTTAACTTTGTTTGACATCTAGCACATGCAGTGAGCCCTTGATGCAATGCCTTCCATGTACTGCTAAATCGGATAAAGCATGCTACCTCCCACAGAGTAGATCTCCTGGCAGTCTTTCACATCACACAAGTTCATCAGGATATGTTTCACTGTATTATGTCTGTTGAAAATATCAGTAGTCCTGATCAGCTTGATCAGCCGTTAGCCCCTACTTGCTACGATGTGTTGATGATTCTGGCTGTCTGTCCTCCAGAGTCCGAGACGTCACAATGGCTGATGGTGTCCGAGGCCTTCATGCGGATGTTCATTGAGATTATGGGCCATTTCGGGGAGCATATCACAACACAGCAGGACGGCAGGAAGGTGTTTGAGGTGAGTGGTAACTGAATCATCGGTAGATTGGGAGGAAACGTGTGCACAGCTGATTGCTATTTCCGGCTTAGTTTACGAGAAAATACACACGGTAATCTTAATCTCTGCATATAAAACAATTCCTTTGATGTCACTTCATGTCTAGTGATGTTTTATATTAAATTTCATACTTTTATTGACCAAATTTGTTTTACCTGTTTAATCACCTGAATTCGCTGAAGGGATACGATAACGCTCATCAATTATTTGGACCCCAAAGATAGCGTTGTTTGTTTTTTAAAATGTCCGGACAGAAAAATTGAAATGTCCCGTATGCAATATTTTAAATCGGACATTTGACATTCCCAATTGGACATGTCCGGCGCATATGACTGTTTCCGGACCCCTGATGTTATGTTTATCAGATGTGTTACGTTGTTGTTGTGTTGGTAATGTTTGTTCAAACACTCTGTGTGGAGTCCGGGGTGGAATAGGTCAGGTGGTCAGGCTAGGTGACTTGATTGTGTGTCATTGTACAGCATGGATCTTTGCTCACAATATCGATCACTGGAATGTCTGGTCCATATTTGAATACTTACAGCCCGCCATCATAGCTGGAATGAGGTGTAAAATCAGTTTACACGGTCGCACTCGATTATTTGAATCAAATTCTGAGGTGAATGTTTTTAGGAAAACCTCTTATTATGGTATAAGACTTCGCTTCTTAGAATATTCGCTTCTAATATTTGCATCAGATAGGATATTTTTTTAGAGTATGAAGTGTGGACTTCAAATTAGTTGAGAATCACATGTTGATATGTGAGTTCTCACACTTGAAACCTGGTTTTTGCCTTATGTTACAGAAAGATAAGTTTTTGGCACGTGTGAGCGCCAAGGGCATCAGACAGGTCCTGGAGTGGTTCACTGAGACGCAGATGTTTGAAGTGTTCATGACCAATCAGCGGGAGAAGACTGAATGGGGGACTGTGGGTAAGTTGACAATATTTGGGCAAGATGATACAAAGCAGACGAAAGTTGAATTGAGCACTGTATGTTAAGTTTTCCGTATTTAGGCATACTGCTCGTGACCCGTGATGATCCGGGGTAGAATAGGTCTTCAGCAACCCACACTTGCTGTAACAAGCGACTCGGGTGGTCAGACTCACTGACTTGGTTGATGCATGTCATTGATCCCAATTGGGTAGATCGATGCTCTTGATGTTAATCACTGGATTGTCTGTTCCAGACTCGATTATTTACAGACCACTGTCATATAGCTGGAATATTGCTGAGTGAGGCGTAAAACAACAAACAAACAAAGCATACTGCTCGGAATCGTATGGATTGAGCTGGTCAAGTTTGGCCATATATGGGCTTAATATTGAAAAGTAGTTGAAAAAAGAATTGGTCACAGAGGCAATTTGACAATGTGGTTGAAATGAGTGAGTGAGTGACTTGGTTTTAAGTGCAGGTCTTACACGTTTACCACTTTTGCGAAACCAACGAGCACAGGTATGGTGCTGACAAACCTACAAATATAATCATGGTGAACCAGAATTTGAATTTGAATCATAAGTTTCTGCCATGTCCAAGTGACCTGCACTGTGAACTGTGGCGCCTTAGACGACTGGACCACCCGTGACCCCCTGTTTAAAATGACCAAATGACACGATATGTATATTTAGTCATAGTATGAAAAGCAAATACAGAGTTGCAGCAGAGAAGCTAACATTTTTAGTCCACTAGTCCTTATAATGATAACATATAGCGAGACCCTTAAAAATGGAAAATTTCTACTATTCCTCATGATACTTTACTATTGGGCAGTTTGGCAAGGACTACAAGACTAGTGCCAATTTCTAATGCTGGGTTGGATACCATGTCAACAGTATTTGAACACTAGTGATTAGGTAATAACCCTGTGGTGATACTAGGTTAGAATTGCTGCCCACCAACCTATGCTTGTCATAGGAGGCAACTGAGTGAGTCAGGTGGTGAGGCTTGTTGACCTGGTTGATTGTGTGTCATCGTGCCCTGACCGTGTGGAATGTTGATCATGATATCAATCACTGAATTGTCTGGTCCAGATTTGAAAATTTAAAGGCCACTGTCATATAGCTGGAATATTGCTGAGAGCGGCGTTAAACAACAAACAACAAGATAAAAGTATATTTGCTGCCTTACTTTGGCATGATGATCAGTAGGAGGAGAGAAGGAATTATTTGGATTCTGGATATGTTGTCAGTTTTGGGTTTTGACAGAAGCAGCATTTGCAGGTGGAATGGGGAATAGTTGGTTAGCTTGCGATATTAGGGCAAGCACACATCAACATACATGTATGTGAATACAGATTAACTGTGTGGGTAATTAGGTTATCTTTACATATTTATGCAGATCTTCAGAAGACAGAAATTATTCTCAGAATTTGTAGATGTGGAGGTCAGATTTATTGTATTGCAAGACCGCCTCCATGGTCTAGTGGTAGAGCGTCCGCCCGGAGATCGGAAGGTCCGGGGTTCGATCCCCGGGCGCGCCATACCAAAAGACGTTAAAAGATGGTACTTGTTCTCACCCTGTCTGGCGCTCAGCATTAAGGGGTTAAAGCAAGGACTGGTCGGCTCGGAGTCAATATACTGTGTCTGAGTGGGGTATTCATGTTAAACTGCGGCATGGTATCTCAGTGGGCTAACACTATAAATTGGCAAGCAGCCTAACACACACACACACACACACACGTGCATGCACTATATAAGTGCAATAACCCAGTTTCACCTCACCTCACCTATTGTATTGCTGGAGGTGTGAATCCAATGTTATGCTCAATTCATTTGAGAAGGTTAGTTATTTTTCGTCTATCTGGCAATGCTGTTTGACCAAAGTCATGTTATTGGTGATCGTACAGATGCTGTGAAATATCACTTCGGCATGTGTGTTTTTTGTTTCAGATTTGTTCATGTCAAGATTGTTAGACTTTGAGAGAGAAGATTCCCGTGATTCACACAAAGGTCTTGGTCGGAAGATGAAGAACTTCGGCAAGGCCATCAAAACTAAGCTCGGGCAGACGTGACATGGCGAATGAAGTGGCAGTTCTTCTTAACACACTGTTACAACACCCCCAGTGGCGGCAGGCATATGTGTAATAAACAACCGACTCAAGCAAATGCAGAAATGCATCTGACTTGAGAAAGAGTTTCAACATTTATTTATCACTGTGATATTTACATGTTTCACCATGTTTTTTCGGGTAGTGGAATGGATAGGGTACTTTACTAAGGATCATGATTGGAAACCTTGAAGATGTACTCTTTAATATGTGTGTTCTGCACTGAAGGAAAGTTCCAAAATCATTGTCAGGTCAGAGGTCAATGTCAAGGCACAGGTCAAGGATGTTCCGAGATCATGGTCAGGCCAGAGGTAAAGAAACATTTTAGAGAACAAGGTCAGATCAGAGGTCAAGGACATTTCAGAGATCAGGGTCATGACTTGTGGTCAGTCTAGATTTCAAGGTCAGAGGACTGATGTCAGCTTTTGCAGTGTTAATACTGATCCCACCTCATGTTCCTTCCTGGCAAATAGCATGATGCAATTGATGTCTATGTAACAACCATGGCCATATTCAGAAATGATGTGCAATCTTTCAGTTAGTTACTTCAACAACAGCTATAGCAGCATGGATAAATGTCTTGTGGAAGAATGCAGTCAGTGAAAATGCAAAGAAACTGGAAACTTTAATCTCTTCAGTGAAAGTGTGATAGAAATCATTGACATTGACAAAGAAATAATATCAGGTCTTTAGTGCTGTGGAGTTGGGATGAGCAATACTCACGTCATTCATCATCTGTTTCTTCATGTCTGTAGTGAGAAGCCATCACCACATGTCCACAGTAACACTGCTGATTGAAAAAAACATACATCATTTGAATATTGTTTGTCATTCTCTAATGGAACCATCACTCAATTGTCATGATATTAAATGAGTAATGTTGATTGGACTGTGATCGCCCTTGGTTCACATGACACATTGATCTAATGGCAGAATAGTACCTTAAAATTCTCAGTCAGCTGGATTCAGAAAAGTCAATCAATGTTTGCTGCGAAGACATGGGAACGACTGACCCTGAAACCTGGAACCTCTGCAGAGTGTTCACTGTGTACGGAGGTAGTATACACGGCTCTGTAGCGGGCCTGCATGGCGAGATGACAATAAAATAGATAGGGCTCTTGTTGTCAAATGCTACTAGCCTACCGACACTCCGCTGTTCAACATAGTTTTTGCACAGAGCCTTTGACAACGAGAACCTTGTCTGACTATAAGACTCTTTGTCGTTCACATATTAACACTAATAAGGTTGTGGAAGCATTCTTGCAAATACATTATAAGGCTTTTTACGGTATGAAAATTAATGACTTCTATGACACTTGTCTATAACACAGTAAATTGCTGAATTTTCAATTTAAGAAAGAATATTTGTTAAATTGCAAAATTGAATTTTTGTTAGAAAACAGATGCCTTCATCCAATGACATCATGACAATTATAGCTTACTGACTGGGATGGCCTTGGTCTTAGAAGCAAAGGTGCCACCTGTTAACAGGTCTTTGGTTTGATTCCTGGCATTAGACTGTGACATTAATAGCTGCTACTACATGCTTGTGATGTCTGCAGCAGCTTCTATGTTCTTCCGTGGAGATCTCCAGATGTTAACAGCTTGACAAGGCAGCGATATTAGCACTTGGTGTTAGGTAATGCTGTATTAACGGTAGAGGTGTCACAATGTGCCTACCTCATGTATTGTTACATACCATGATACACAGCCAGGATGTGATATGTATCGTGATACTTCACTTGGGCTGATTGTGTGTGAAATTCTTAAAGCTCTGTCTGCATGGCTGACAAGAGGTTCCTATCAACCAGGTTATGTTGAGATCTTATGACAGGCTATTGTAAACATGCATTTTATATTAGACACCTATCCACTATGTTTGTTTTATGCTACAAAAGTACCGGTAAACGCATGGGACAGTGTTATCATATCAAAAGTAGGGCAATAAAACTCAAAATTAGCTAAAAAATTATGCTTGTATTTGTATGGTTTAATGTAAAAAATAGAAATTGAATATCAAGGCAATTCATAAACATCGAAAATTGGACGTCAACATCGAAAGTAGTCGAGAATGGAAAAATAATGGCATGCGATAACCTCACGAGTGATATCTGTTAAGGACACATTTCAGCAAATGTGATATTTTCCATTAACTTTGGGAACTAAAGTTTACTCACAAAAGCATTTAATTCAAGCTGGTGTGTAGGGTACAAGCCCCCAAATCCCTTCATGCTGCTGAGGCATCTAAACATGGCTTTTGAGAAACTTGGAAACTGTGACTACCGGTACTTGGGAAGGAGCTTGTGCACATCCTTACCAAAATGGAGGAAGTTGTCCAGCTGAGTTTAGGCTTATTCTAATCATGCTAATGGTATAATGCAACAGATGAAGCATGTGTTTCATGATATTCAGTAACACGGGCCCCAGTAGTAGTTATCATACACGGTTATTTTAAAATTTGGTACATATTACACTTTGAAAATTGACAAAGAATTAATACATGAATCGATACATGGGTAGTTCTATTGGCAGGTGCAAATTATTGATACAGCAGTGAATCGTGACGCCCCTCAGTAACAGGTATTTGGCTTTGTAAGAATAGCATTGTGTTATTACAGATGACCGAGTAATTGAATGTTGTAAAATGCAGGTAGTTGTGTTCAATCAGTGTTCCAGTCTTCTTGCTTGTGAGTGCTACCACTTGATATTATGTGACCAAGGGTTTAAATGTTGGTACAACCACGGACCTATATAATACGGTTAAAGAAGTCTGTGATTCAAATATCTATCCATCACATCTGTGCATGACCATCTTCCCTAGGCAAGGGAGTTAACTGACTTTAAAAGTCCAATTTCCACCTTTGCCGAACTAGGCTGGAATTCCTGGGTTCGATCGTAGCGCCTCCAGTTGCTATTATCAATTATGTCCCTTCTAAGCCTCTCCTATGGATCAATCAGATTCCACCTTTCGTATCACTTGCATTTTTTCAAACAAAATGGTGGCGCGCAGTCAAGAAGATATGATTGATAATCAAGATCTATATTGTGATAAAACGAGTCTTATATCGCAAGTGCATCAAATCACATGAGGACCTTGATTAGAAACATGAAAAGATTTAGAAAATATAATATAACGAGTTGGTGGTGCACATGCTTTTCAAATCCTGCAATTGACCGAAATCTGCATGACAGTTGACGAACCGGAATTCAATTTCATTGCCCGATTTTGATTGGATTATGCATAGACTCGTTAGTCCAACCAAAATGTAACTCCATAATACCAGCCTAGTTCGGCAAGGGTGGAAACTGGACTTTTATAGTCAGTTAACTCTCTTGCCTCGGGAAGATGGTGCATGACCTGATGGCAATGCGTCAATCAAGAATTGATTGTCAATATTTTACATTGATGCCTCACTGAACTAAGGATAGTATTGATACACCTAAAAATTAAGACATTATGCTCAGTCATTTCCTGTCCATGAATACACCTCGCATGAATAGACACCATGGTTTCAATCAGTAAACTTTATAGATGTGTATTGGACCCTAGCAAGAGGTACCCACAAACAGCTTCATAAGTAATCAATCCTTATTCTAATCTAGGAATTGGTGGACTTAAAATCAAAATACTGGTAACTGAACAAGGCCAGGCTTATACAATGAGTGCACAATCAGCAATAGCTGAAAGCACTTGTAAAATCGTCAACAGTGGATGGATACACTTGCTGTAACCACTGCATTTCTGTAATTGATTACAGAGACAGATCCTTATTTGGTAGTTTGGTTTGTACAGTTGTTATCCTGAATCTGTTTCGTGTGGGACAAACATTTTAGAGTTTTTGGACTGATGCACGGATAAGTGGGTTCCATGCCTTTGTTATAGTAGCCAATTAAATTCGAAACATTTAAGTACCAGTAATAACTGCAGTGCAGTTTATTCAGGGTCTGTTTTTAACAGATTCTATTGTATATGATTACAAATTTTGCTGGAGTATGACCCTGGTATAAACTTCATAGGCATGAATATATGATCTCAACTTATGAAATAAGCCAGTAGGTCTAATGTGAAGCCTCAAGCTGTAGTTGTGTGTAGAATTGTGTCAGCTTTAAATATGTTAATCACCGTCTGCCAAACTCAACAGTAAACTTAATTTACACAGCTTTAGGCCAAAACAACCAAAAGTAATGTTTCTCGCTGTCAGGCCGGTCAGTTTAAACCAAGCAAACAATGCTATTTTTCCCGTTCCTAATTCAGCCATTCCTAACTTTCCACTTTTTAATCTTCAAGGCTGCCAGCCATGACATACTGTGTACAAAACTATTACAAACTGGTTGTTGCCAAGTACATGGCATATACTTTCTTTTCTTGTTGGACTTAAATAATTACTCTTATTTTCAAGCTGGAATTGATGAGAAACATTGTTTTATTTTTTTGATGGCCCCTTTGAATTGTTTGGATGACGATGATCAAAGGTGTGATGTAGAAATGCAGTACCAGTTCAAAGGTTGTCAGGTCAACGAAGACAAGAGAACCATGGATGTTTGTTTAAAGATAATGGCAATATTTTGTTTTCAAATGTTTATTTGATGTTTTAAGCCCAGTGTTCATCATGGTTATTGTGTTGTCAAGTTTCACTGGCCAATTTACATTACAGATACTTTTTTCTATAATTGTCTATGTTCTTAGATTCGCATAACCTAATTCCTAATATTTGTGGAGCACATAACTTGTGTTGTCATGGTTTTAGTGAAGATATTGCAAATGCCTCATGGTTTTCTATATTTCATCAAACTTTCCTTTTCAAGGCCAGATCAATTTATTTTCTTGTTTTGCAGATGTATTTACCCTGATTTAAAAACACTTGTTTGACAATGATATGAGATCATATCCTGAAACATCACTATTATAATAATTAAGAATGTCATCATCCTTACTATCTTTACTAGTAAAAGATCCTTTGTTTACCTAAAATACGCCATTTATAATAATTCCTTACCTCATTACATCACAGCCATAATTCTGCCTGTTGGCTGTCCTCACACTATAAATCGTTAGATTTTAGTCCTCTTCACTGTCAACTATCCAATACGTAGTTGTGAGGAAAACAGTATTAAGAATGCACTAAAACAATTTTAAGGAATTAACGTCAAACCCTCACAACATTTTATAAAAATATCAATTTCCCCCTGCTTCTTGACATATTGATCAAGAAATTCTGAAAACAAGAAATTAATGTGAAATGGCCGAAGGCAAAAAGTAGAAACCTCCACATGCCAATTTAGAATCAAATCAAGGTTTTTTGTATAGTTCTGTCAGTTTTTTTCTGGCCAGTTATTTCTGGTATTCATTCAAATATTACTTCTGGAGCTCATTTGGGTCTAATTTTGATAATATCAACGCAATTAGCCTACACAATGCAGTCTTTGCAAGAATTTTACCATTTTTTGTCTTTGAAGTATGATGAACTTTTCCTATGAGTGTTTCCTATGAGTGTTTCCTATACATTCTAGATGTTTAATGAAATATTTATATCACCTGTCATTGTAAATATCATTGAATAGTCATCTATTTCACACACCCAATGTATGTAGTATGTTAAGTTTGTGTAGATTTTATATCTTATTTTGCAAGTAGTCTTCATATAGGACATAGATATCTATCAACAAGTGCAGTATTATATTGTGATATTTCCCCAACCTTTTCATGTATGTTTTGTAAAATGGTGCAACCATTGTGTTTTGTACTTTGTAGAATCTCCTATTGACATACTGGAATTGCTGTTTGTTTCCCACAAGATGTCAAAAGAAATGAATTTTTAGAAATAATTCAAATCCGCAAACATTTACAAAATGGTAAAATTAATAATTCAAATTTTTAGAATTCAGCATGAAGAAACCCTGAGATTTTTCATTTCTTAGTTTCATCTTAGTCAGGATTGCTGTTTGTTGTTGAGGCGACATAAGGCATTAGTTTCTTACATTCCTTATTTCAGGAAAATTGATGTGGTGTGGGTTTCTTAATTAGGGATGACCTGTCAAATTGTCACCTTTGGAGATTTTAAATTTCCTCATTTACTTTTTCACCAGCTTGCATCTTCGCAGTAAAAACCACTGTGAGACTTTAGTTTGAGTTTTGGCAGATGAAAGCGATGCTACTGGTGTTGTTTCCTTTACACTGGGTAGGCTAGTGTGATAACTGCTGTTAACAGTGTCACACTGCAGCAATTAGTCATCAATGCTAGTCTCAGGAGTCAACGGAGTACTTGTGTCTTCAGCCTCCCATCTATATCACTACTTCTCCCGACACCCCAGGTGTACCTGCGATAGAATGTATGAAAGTGTTGCTTGATGTAAGAGGCGACCATACTAAGATGACTAAGATTGGGTGTTGGGGCTTGGTGACTTGGTTGAATGCATGTCATTACGCTCAGTAGTAAGTGGGTAGGGGAGGGGATGGGGTGGTATGAATGAGGGGTTCCTGTCTGGTGACATGTAGCATATTCAACTTGATTTCCAAGAATGACGTGTCTTTTCTTGTTTTGTTTGTTGTTTAACGCCGCAATATTCCAGCTATATGACAGCGGTCTGTAAATAATCGAGTCTGGACCAGACAATCCAGTGATTGTCATCATGAGCATCGATCCACGCAATTGGGATACCATAACATGCATCAACCAAGTCAGTGAGTCTGACCACCCAATCCCGTTAGTTGCCTCTTATGACAAGCATAGTCGCCTTTTACAGCAAGCATGGGTTGCTGAAGACCTATTGTATCACGGATCTTCCAGGGTCTCATGTCTTTGCACATGCTCAGAAGCCTTTAGCCTGTTATAGATGGGAATTTCAATGAAAGAATGACACATCGGGTATATTGCATAAAAGAATAGAAAAGCTTGTTGTAAGAGGCGACTAAAAGGATCAGCTGGTCAGGCTTGCTGACTTGGTTGATGCATGTCATCATATCCCATGTAGATCAATGCTCATGATGTCAATCACTGGATTGTCTGGTCCAGACCTGACTATTTACAGACGGCCATCACAAAGTTGGAATATCACTGAGTGCAGCGTTAAACAACAAACAAACAAACCTGAATAGAAATGTCAGTTGTGTGTGACACACACTCTACAATTTTTATTAGTTTTAAGGATTCAAACAGCCAGACCATTTCGCATTCCCGGGACTCGCAGTGTGTACTGTTTATACCATTCACTATTTGTATGCACATTGTACGCAACATTTTCTGTCTGCTAAACCCTGGAGACAGGAGACAAGATGTGAGCAGAGAACTTCATTTGTCACACCCGTTCATTTTGTAGAATTTGCTGTGGTGTTTTGTACTGGAATTTAGGGGCGGTCGGGTAGCCTCGTGGTACAAGTGTACCGGTGTCCCCTGCTGTGATATTGCTGGAATATTGCTAAAAGCGGCGTAAAACCTCACTCACTCCCTCACTCACTCACTGTACTGCAATTTAACAAGTGTGGTCACAATTTGATTGTGTTATACCAAGTACTAAACGCTCCAAATATGGTAATTGAATAGTCATTGATAGTCATGCATATTTTGTCACATTTTTTATTCCATTTATCATGAATGATGTGAAGGTGTATGGCATCCATCACAAATTAATTGTAAATTTCAGTAGTTGCTCACTACACAGAAGTTCAAGATGGCTTACACTCACTTCCTTTACAACATTAGCAAGTGCTTGTCATTCATTATCAGGGTTTATTGATGACAATGGCTGGCTGGTCATCCAGATCATGACAATCACTCCTTGCTGGTTTTTAAAAGAATAATTTGAACCATTTTACTCTATTGACATTGACGATTGGAATGTGGTGGGGGAAGAGAGAAGAGAAAGGTAATATATAACGTCAATGCCAGAGAATAACCAGTATTAATTAAGTGCCCAAACAGATTCCATTTAAAGGCAAAATAGAAATGAAAATTATTTAAATGGATAACTGAAAATTAGTAATGACACCAGGTGTTTGCGAAAATATAAGCATGACCTGTATACCGATAGCACATGTTGCTCGCACAATTTGCATAAGAAAGTTTGGTGCCTGACGCCAGCCCCATGCTAAAGGACTGGCTCCTGTGAAGTGGGTGAGGCCATCCATATTATTTTATGTGTCTCTCATCTCCATCCTCCGCTTCAGATCCTGTCAACTTAAAAGTTGTCTGTCATTTAAGATATGTGCAGAAATGGTTCATGATTGAAGTGTTAAAGGGTCCAGCTGTGCGACATGATCTTGAGCTGATTTACAGTCAATTAACTAGTACCAAGTGTGAAATAGACATTAGTTTTAGGTAGCTGAGGTAAAGATAAACCGCTAGATTGTCACTTTTACTGAGTCTAGTCCCCACAAACTGATTATGAATTTTGAACATGTTCATAAACTCACAACATTATTGTGCTATATTCAAAGCACAACTGTGTTTTGAAAAGCGGAGTTAGAAAAAAATAGCTATGAGCTGAGTTATTGACCTTGAATATCCTTCTGTTTAAATATGAAATCATTTTATATTGGCAGAGCGGAATGATTTAGGGAAGGCAATGAGAAGCTTAGTAAAATACAGACTGCCCAGGTGTCTTGCTGTTACAAATATGTGTCAATGAGTGTCGCTGTCTGTAGTGTTTATTCATTGCTATGAAGGAATTTATTTGCATGGTTGATTGTTAATAGCTTGTTGATATTAGACTGTGATAGTAGTACAATGTTACTCAGAAGGAAGTTCATGTCAATCAAAAAAGGGGACGTGTCAATTTTTTTAATGCATTTAATTAGGATAAGACTAGTTTATTGATAGTCCCTGGATAATACCTACATTTTGAGGTAATGATGACAGAAAACATTCTTGACACTGGACTCAGCATTGATGTTTTGTTTTGCTTGATATATTGTTTGTGTTTGGAGATGGTACACAGCTTTCTGTATTGTGGGCTACAGAATCATGATGGCGCTTATGTAAAAAATATTTTAACAAATTATTGAATTGAGGATGTGTTTGACATTTTCATTTGATGGCCTCTTTGTTTAACAGGTTAATATACAATTGTCATTTTGGAGATAATGAATATTTTGAATATCATTGTTAAATCTTATCATTTTTCACATTCTTGTTGATAATTATTGATTGTCTATACATGTCTAGATGTCTTTCCATTTTGTAATATATTTTTAGGAATGACAATAGTACCAGACAATGTACCTGTGTATGTATACTGGTGCTACACTCTTCATACTTTTAACAAACTTCATGATCAAACAGTTTACATTAGAAAATACATTCTTTTTCTGTATTAGTATTATTAGGGTATTTATAATACTGACATAAAAATTCACTGTCAACATAAGATAGTTATATTTGTCCATGAGAAAAGTTGTTGCTCTCTGTCTAGTCTGTGTTTGAGTCACATCCTGTGATAGGTGTACCATCAGAAGTGTAACAGCCATATACATACATGTTTACCAATATTGTGCTTATATTTCCTTACCAACCTGTATCCATCTATACTCCAGCCCCTGTATTCCCTCGAACTACCCTGTGTGTTCCCACTTACTATAACCCTGCATTACTCCCCATGGTTTCTGCTGTGCCCTATATTCACAAGAAGCCCTCCCCAATATTCACTAGAAGCCCTCTCGTGTAAGTTATACTCTATGGGCTCTCCCCTGTATTCATTCCAAGACAACCCTATATTCACTATATTCACTTTAAGCCCTCCCCTATATTCACTTTAAGCCCTCCCCTGTATTCACTTGAAGCCCTCCCCTATATTCACTTGAAGCCATCCCCTGTATTCACCCTGAGACTTCCTGTACTCAAAAACTTTCCATCTATTCACTCTAATACCACCCGTGTATTCATTGTAAGACTACCCCCTGTATTCAATCTAAACTTTCTTTGTTCAAGACTTTCCATATAGTCACTCCAAGACAACCCCTGTATTGACTTGTTGAACCACTATTCACTTTGTATCCCACTATTATGCTATATATACATATACACCCCAGCAGTAGCTGGTGCTCCAACCTGTCTCACTGATGTAGATATGTAGCTGTATTTGAAACATGTAATACACAATGTAGCTGTATTTGAAACATGTAATACACAGTGATAAATAACAACAGTCTGCAATATACTAGCTTCAGTTAAAAACGAATGAGAGAGTCTTGACAATATGACCCTCGTATTTATGACTTTGTTTATCATGATTCAATTTACCGCAAGCATCACAAATATGATATTCTAGACAAGATGTGTTTAAATCTAGCAGATGGTGTATTTTGTGTAGACATACAGAATACACAATCAAGCATTAATAATTCAAATAAAACATCTTAATTCAAAACTTTACATAGAAGGTTTTTTTAACTGTTTTGACAGCTATCGCCAACACTAATTTCTGTATTAAAATGCATCTTGCATTATGTGTGTATATATGTTGCATCTGTTCCTGTTAAATGGTTGTACACATTTGATCAAAATTTACCTCATTGTAATTATCATGACATTCCATCATCACCAACGTTCCGTATAGCCATTCCCTGTGTGTATGGACAACTGTTTAAAAAGGCCAAACACAATCAGTACAGTGATTATGGATGATAGAGTAGTGTACTTGTTTTATGTCTAACAGCAATTATTCTGCTTCCGACATTGTCCACTGCTTCTGATAACAACAGTAAATGCTTCATGTGAGGTATGACTCATAGCCAGTTTGCGATTAATGTTTTTAAATGTTTTAATAACAATATGGTTTTGTTTTTTTGATGGATGGGGAATAAATATTTGTCGACGTAGCTGAGGAAAAACGACTAATTTTTTAAATGCCTTGCACATATTCCTGACAACTGATTGTGTATGGCCTCTACTTATTTGCAATATTCAGCGTATTGACACAATTAAGTTTCATTCTATTCTCACAAATATCTTCATGGTGTCAAGAAATTGTTTACCTATTGTTGGCTGTAACATTGTTGATTGTAAACATGTGTAATTATTCTTATATATCTAATTGTAATATATCCAGATGTGTTTGTTTCTGAGTAGATATCAGGGACTGTCTCAAAACATTCCCTTTACCTTTATTGAAAGGAATTCCAAACGGACTGAAACTATTTATTGACCTGTAGTAAAACACTAATTATTTACATGCTTCATTCGGCAAATCCTTTAAACAATTAATAGCTTTACATAGAATAGATTACCCACCTTCGTATAAAGCTGATCAGTGGAATTTTGAGTTTAAAACGCACATGGTGGAAGCTTTGGCCTTTTCAATAGATGCCTTTGCTTTACCATGTGATTATCTAAGTGTTTGCTTTGATAGCCATTGAGAACATGGATCTTGAGGAAAATCAGCTTAGAAACATACTGTATGTATTAAACTAAAAATCATCTGAACTTATATATGTAGAGCAAAGGTAGGATATCTTTATGAATACAATATGTAGAGCAAAAGGTAGGATATCTTTATGAATACAATATGTAGAGCAAAAGGTAGGATATCTTTATGAATACAATATGTAGAGCAAAAGGTAGGATATCTTTATGAATACAATACGTAGAGCAAAAGGTAGGATATCTTTATGAATACAATATGTAGAGCAAAAGGTAGGATATCTTTATGAATACAATATGTAGAGCAAAAGGTAGGATATCTTTATGAATACAATACGTAGAGCAAAAGGTAGGATATCTTTATGAATACAATATGTAGAGCAAAAGGTAGGATATCTTTATGAATAGAATATATTTCAGCAAATTCTGATCGATCAAATCATGTTTTATCTCAAGGAAAACAGTTGACAGTTGTGATCAGAATAGGAGACATGACAGTGACTGTATGAACCTTGTGAAGTAATTCCTGATGTTTACCGGAACTGCAGTTCCCTTGTAACTTCTACTCCAAGACAATACTACACAACTGTGGCTCTTATCTAGGACATGTGCGCTAGAGTGACAGAGAGTTTATCATAACATGTTGTATACCACTCAACTTTGGATAGGGATATTCCTTTTATTCCATCATCCACCAACATGCATACGACATGCATCTGTAGACAGTATGAAATATTGATGTACCCTTATCAAACATTGGGTAGTATATGTTAACATTGGCGTCTTATCTCCACTGCCCATCTCCAGTCTGGAACTAGACAGCAACATTAGTGCTTTATATGTATTGGACATATACTACTCAAAAGAGGTTAAGGACCTCATTTTTTCATATTACTGTAGTTAATCAGAGTATTAACTATAGTAATATGAAAGAATGTTTTTTTGTTTAACCTCTTTTGAGTAGTATACATAAGAGGATTCTTGCAGATCATGATGCTATCTTCGATGATGGTGAAATATATTGAATTAGGATTGACATTAAGTTTTTGAAGTTGAATATCTGTCAGTGGTATTAGAATCAGGAAGTAGGATGAAAGTTCCACTTTTAATTTTTCTTGACAATATTTGCAAGCTGTGTTAGTATTTGTACAATGACATGTGTTTGATATGCTTTTGCCCCCATAATACATGTTGCCTAGTGAGTTGTTATTGCTGGACAGTTGAGCTTGTTAGTCTGCATGACTGAGATTTGGTTATGTTTTATTGTTTTATTATGTGAAATCTTATTTCAAGAAAAAAATAAAGCAATTTTGATACACATGTAAGTTGTGTTCTGTATACATGCTGGCATATGAAGATGCTTTGATTAGCATGCCAGTTATATCACTGATATTATTGCTCTATGTTATAAGCTTGATGTTGGAGAAAGCCCTGCAGTATTGCAGTTTTGACGTTTTTCCACTTTGCTGAGTGAGTCATTGAGTGAGTTGGGTTTAACGCCGCTTTTAACAGTATGACATTGCGGCGTGTCAGCTTAATGTGGGAGGAAAGCCTGAAGTGATGCAGGTCTCAGACGTTTACCAGTTCGGTGAAACCCACAAGCACGGGTATGGTGCTGTGCTGACATAATCGGGGCAAACCAGGATTTGAACACACAATCATAGGTTTCTGGCGTGCCCAAGGGACGCAACTCTGCACTGCAATTTGCGGCGCCTTAGACGACTGGGCCACCCCTGCCCCCTCCACTTTGTCAGAACCATACCCGTGTTCATGGATTCAGCAGACTAAGATAAATGGCTTAAACACCGGCACATCCACAAAGATCACACAACAATTGATTCTGAACATTAGATAAAACACACAAGACGGATCAGATGGCATGATATTTAATATTCACTTCAACAAGTGGTATGAGTGAGTACACGATGTATATGTTAGCTATCTAATATCATATTGATGTGAGGCATTAGATAATGGTATAGAAATATATATACACTGGCTGGTAAAAAATTATGCTAAAAGTCACCAACAAATAACAGAATAATTTCTCACTGGTCAGCAGTCTGTGTCAATAGTCTGTACAAGTTTGATTTTAATGTAGCTTCACTCAGTTTTGTGGGGACATGTTACTTCATCAGACTAGACCTATTGTCTTATTGTAGGAGTACAGGGAATTTTATTGGTCACACTGCCATACTGGTACAAGGCAGAGTCTGTTTAACATAGTGATTGTAGCACTACATGTCGTAACTCATACCCTAAACTGACTAACGATTATTATAGCACAACTGTCACTTTACGTAAGAAAATAATAAAATTTCCAAAATTTGTTTTTTACGCCATTATGCAAAAATGTTAAAAATAATTCTGTTACATACAATATCATATTACATAACCTTTACACAATAGGCTACAATCATTTTCTAAGATCATCATGAAAGAACTTTTTCACAAAGATCTGAGACTATGGTGTATGATGTACTGCCTCACCCTCACACACTTTTCATGGGACCATGAGTGAGTGAGTATGGTTTTACGCCGTTTATAGCAATATTCCAGCAGTATCACGGCAGGGGACACCAGAAATGGGCTTCACACTTTGTACCAATGTCGGGAATCAAACCTGGGTCTTCGGCGTGACGAGCTAACGATTTAACCACTAGGCTACCCGACTGCCCCTCATGGGACCATGACACATACCTAACATTAGTGTTGGGCCTTGTTAACATGTCTACAGGAATGTGACCATGAGGCAAGATGGGGTTAATCTTTTTTCAGTGAAACCAATGATGTAGCTGTTCGAAGACATCACCAAAAGAGTGACCTCAACTTCATCATAGCTGTACAAAGGGAGATAACTTCCTCGGGGATAAACACCTTCAAATTTCATAGTGCCTGTCAACACAAAATTAATTTCAATAAAGTGTTTCACTGCTTCCATAGCTGCTGAGTAAGATTGCTTAACACCTAGTTGAACAGTATTTATGTGGCTTTATTCAGTATTCAGCTTTATGTGGAAGTAGGTCATTTACAAAATTGAAGACACTCAACACAGAACGGGGTAATCAAGGCTTCATGGGATGCAGGCCTGCCAGGGGTGATGACACTGTCCTGAAATAACATGCCCAGGCAAACACCAAGTGAAGCTACCATACACACAGGCTAACAAGTTGCTTCCATGGCATAAACATGGATTCTTACTAATAAAGGTTTGATTTGAGCAGTGATATAAATCTATTATAGACTGAGCAGACATATTACCCAAGCAAAAGCTTTCTATTGTTGAACAACCATGACCTGTTATCACTCCACACAAACAACCTAAGGATAATTACCGGTACTTACAAAATAATGCCAGTTGATACGGTGGGCAGCACAATCTGGCTTGCTGCTTGATCTTGGGGCTGCAATATGTAACTACTCAACATTAGCTAAGTGTTATGTCTTTATGTACACTCAATGTAGTGGTCTATGGGAGATAACTCCGGACGGCTTAATGTGTTCATGGTATGGTCTAGGGGAGATAACTCTGGACAGCTTATGTTATAAAATGTACTCTTCAGTTAGGGAGTAAGAAAGGGGGGAGTTCCAATGTCTGCCTGCATGTATACCATGTGCTCTGTGTGAATTAAAACCCGTATTCTACATTTCCTGAATCCATTATACAACACTTAAGGACCAAAATAGTCATCTTTAGTCAAATGTGTGATCCTTAGCAAATGTTGAGTAGAATAGGTGACTGACTTCACAGTCATCTTAACATCAACTACAACATGATCACAATATGTTTTCTGTGAATGAGTGTGTAGCATGGTTTCCCGCCTGTAACTTTGATCTTTCTGGCCCCAATATAACGATGCATAGATCTGCTCAATTTATGTATGGTTCTAAACTATTGACAGTTGTTGAGTGTGTGGCTTGGGTCTTTCACCACTTTTAGCAATCTCCAGCAATATCAGCATGGAGAATGGACTTCACACAGTGTACCCATTTGGGGAATCAAACCTAGGTCTTCTGTGTGACATATTTTAACCAATTGGCTAACCCAGCCCCCTAGGGACACATCATGTCATATTAGTAGGAGCTGTCATTTTTGTCAGAGAAAGTGTCCTTTTTCAGTCACTGCTTAAAAACAAACAATTTCACTGGGAAAGTAATTCTTTCACATTTCTATAGTTAATCTGTCCTGCTATGACATTTTTACCATAGTAATATGAAAGAATCGGTGATCCTTGACTTTTTTTAGTGGTATATTTATTTTATGACATCCAGTCTGTCCAGCAAAACAATTATTTTTGGTCAAAAACCTGAGGGCAAATTAGTTCGGGAAAAGTACACAAAATGTTAGTTTTGGTTTCCTGGAATAAGAAATGGATTCTTCCATCCTAAGATTACATCCATATCCTATGAGATATAAGTTCACATCTAACCTATGGATGTTGGCATAGCATCTATATTGTAACTAAGATGTTGAGGATAGCAGCGATGTGGTCAGGTCATGGTAGCCTCTATGATTACTATGCGGTGTAGCACCCCCAGGATGGGGCCACTTGGCACATTTACATATATACAAGCAAAACACTGCCAGAAACAATGTACATCATTTGTTCAAAAGTAGAGAAAAGACAGTTATCTTCAGAAACGGGAACAGAAAACTGTTGGATAATGTCATTCTGAACTGCTCTCAGCAACACAAATGTGTCTCTTGAAAATATCATGAGAGGTTGATAATGTATACGAGCCTGCCATACTGGATTCTGTGAATGTAACGACGTCAGTAGTGTCGAATACAAAACTAATCTTTACACATTTCTACTACCAACTAAACTATACTATTAAGCAATCTCATTGGATCACAGAGGGTTTGAAGGCGGGGATGTGTGTGTGTGTGTGTGTGTGTGTGTGTGTGTGTGTGTGTGTGTGTGTGTGTGTGTGTGTGTAACTATATATACCCATGACACATTCAAGTTCTCTTACATAGCGAACAGGTTATCTCCCCTTCTGAATACTCTCATCAACTGGTGAGGTAAAGTAAAATAAGATATTCGGCAAGTGTGACAGGAGATAGTTGCCAACTTTGATTTATTCAGTCCGAGGCCAAACAGCCAGGAAACAGGTAAAAAATAAAATTAAGTACTTTCAAATATTCTTAATCCAAAATCATACATGATGTGCCCAGCAATATTCCAGCGCACATAGCGGCTTGTAAATATTCAGTGTCGCACTGAAAGCATGAGCAACAATCCACACCATTGGGGCACAGTGACATGCAGTCAGCCAAGTCACTGAACCTGACAACCCCGTCATCTCTTACAAAAAACATAAGATGCTGAGAACCTATTCTTCTGGATTCCCACAGGGTAGGATGCTAAATAAACTGGATTCAGTGAGCAGGCATTGATAGATTTTTGCCATACAAAGGAATCTTGCAGACTGTTGACTCAGGGGAACATATGGACAGAATCATGTAGTGAGTGAGCTGTGTTTAATGCCACATAATACAGTGTGTCAGCTTAACATGATAGGAAAGCCCACAGATCATAGAAAGTGACACAGATCACAGAAAGTGACACGGATCAAAGATGTTTTCCACTTCGGTGAAACTCACCTGCTCAAGTACAGTGCTTATGCCAGCAATTATGATCATGGCGAATCTGGTAATTGAAACCAATGATCAGCAGATCCTGACCTGACTAAAGGGACACAACACTGCAGAACAAATATCGACACCTATGATCCATGGGCCATTATGCCCTTGTGCCATTTGAATGAGTAGGGTTTGGCGCCACTTTTCACTGTACTCCAGTTATATCATTGTGTCAGCTCACAATGAGGAGAACAGCCCGAAGTGATGCAGGTCTTAGACGTTTACCACTTTGGTGAAATCCACAAGCACAGCTATGGTGATGACAAACCTAGAAACAGAATCAGAATGAACTGGGATTCAAACCCACAATCATAGGTTGCTGGTGTGCCCAAGGGAAGCAACTCAGACTATCTTGGCTATCTTGTTTCAATCTTACGTTACAGGTATGTATAGAATACTATTTCTTGCTTTCCATGATTAGCACCATCTGGGTAACTATCTCCTGTAACACTGTACATATGATTGCAACACAGATCACAGTTGTAGATATCACGAGGGATGGACTCACAACCTGCACAATAACAACGCTGACTATCCCAGCATGCAGTCAATGATGCTGTACTTGAACTGCAAAACTACAAAACTGTTTACAATGAAAGGAATGGTTATGTAAAGGTTTCTTTATACAAATATGAGCTGAAAATAATTTACACTAATATATCACTATTTAAATGGAATGTAAACTAAATTATTCACAAATACTGTACACTCACGGACCTCACAGCTACACATATCAATCTGTTTAGAATCTAGAGAACCATTCATTATAAGCAAGACTTTCTTTGAAGGGGTATGGATTTTTGGCCCCAAAATTCAGGTCAGCAGATCAAAATAATAATAATAAAAACATAACAATTTACAATATTTTTGTTTATGTCCCCTCGCGATGCATCACAATTCATTTTGAAGTTTTTCAGATAAGTTCTTACTAAGGTTTTAACCATAGTATTTCAAATAATTTGTTTATATTGATAGTGACAGTTAATGAGTTTTTTAAAACATTTTACCAATTTCTGGTTGGCAAAATAAAACTGATTTTCATTTATTATATTTTTTCACATTTCACTTTTTTCTGGAGTTGGTGAATCCATAAGCCAAGCTTAAAAATGTCTGGTCTTCCATGGTTTCCGTCACAAATAGGATTAACATATAAACCATATGATGTATCACTAAATACTTAGACAGGCTCCCAGGAGAAGGTCACTGAAATGTTACTAAATACTAAAGGTAACACTTGATTAATATTTTCACGTGTAATGTTAGTATAAAGACTGCTCACCTGATTCCCAGTAAATGTATAGAACTTTACCATGATTATCCACTGTAAAATTCATCCATTTTCCTATGATAACTACTCTGGACGTATTCGCCTCCATACCTTTGTTCAAATGTTCACATGACACGCCACCAGTCCAATCAAATTACTAGAGGTGATGTCATCAGTACACGACTTGTCATGCCTATCAGAAGTACCACGTGTTCAGGGTGTGTATCATAACCAAAGGGAAATATGCTACTCGAAATAATCAAGATGATACTGCTCATATTGTTTAGGAAACTAAGTCCAATTCTATCACTGTCATCATTCACACTTGCACCTACATCTAAAAAATATCAAGAATAAATCATTCTTTTTTTTCTTCAAAACTAAAACAGTTCTGTCTTGTATGTTAATTATACGCACATGTGAAACCTATACACAAAAATCACATCTATCTCTTACAAATAACATGGAGCACTATGAGAATTGCATTCATTGTAGTGATCTCTGATTTCTACTCGATGTAAACTACCCTGGAACGACTTCAGTACTTCCTCAAGATATACACTGAAACGTAAACCATTCTTGTTTAAGTCCACACTAATTCCTGCACTCTAGAAATGAGTAACCAGTAACACATAGTAACATTTCAAGGCATAAAGCTGTTTGTTAAATGCTTAGAATATACCCTGAATAAAAAAGACGGAAATTACACAAAGTTAAGCAAAATCCATATCCAAAGTTAAGCATTTGCCATATCTATAATTTTCACAAAACTTCAAACTGATTACAGTGAAACATGATACAGACCAACTTGATAAAACATTATCAGTCACTTTAAAAGACATACATAAATCAACACAACAGAAAGCCTAAACAATCCTAAAAGAGAAGTTTCCGTGCATGCTCACTTCATATCCGCCCCTAATTAAGAGTCTTGTCATTAAAATATGAATCAAACATATAACGCTCAAAAACAAATGAATTATACTGACCATCTGATTCTACTCTAAGAGTATTTGTCGTGAAAAGATTATAAAAACATTTAATCAAAATTCTGATCATTTACATCCATATTAATAAAATTAACAAAAACAATTCAGGAAGGCAAATACAATTTACCAAGAACTTCACAACATTCTTGAATTGCATTCAACACATGTCCAAGGAGCTTCGATGAAGAAACAGTTCTACATCTTGCAAACTATCTGCTGCCCGCCATCTTGATCATACGAACTCAACATCTAATAAGGCACACAGCTTCACATAATGAGCTCATTGTTATCACATGAGGCCACACCAGGTTTAATGCTCTGATAAAATACAGCATGGTACCCTTAAACACAGATTTGATCATGAATAAAACTTACAAAACATTCACAGAACCCTTCCATATTGTGCATCATTAAACAGTTGCATAGATGCAGACACACAAAACACATAGGTTCCATCCACAGTGTGTTCCAATAGCTTCTTGATTAGGAAAATATAACACTGATCCAACAACATCCTGACACCATCAAATGCTGTGGGCATTAAAATTCCTCAAATTTCTAGAATAAAAACGGCATAAATATACATAAATGGTATCAAAACTGACAGTTTCATGTAACAGGATGGCAAGATTAGGATTACACACCCACTTGCCTGTGTTGTAAATCCAGTGATCCTGTAAACTAAATCAAGGGCAATGGGTTGTCAAAAAGACACAATGGTGATGATGGCGTTGTCTTGCGTAGCGTCAAGTTATCCCGCGTAGGGTTCCAGTTACAACAAAGTCATCCTTGACAGCTCTTGCTTACATGAGAAATCTGGCATTACCGGTACATCTGCTGAATCTGCTTAGCTTCTTGTCCTCTTCTGGTCCCGTGATGCTGCGAAGGCACACGATATATACACTTAGTCTGTTTGCAGCAGCCTTCCATGAATCATCTGTAACTATTCTATGAATCTTGCGGCCTTAATTCTATTCGTAGTTGACCTTGTCTGTCCAGAATGGTTGAATTTTGTTTACAATGATGATGACTAAAATCATCTGGTTATAAAAAACTGTAAGACACATTTGATTTTTAACATACAATCTGGGGATGTTTTTCAGTTCCCAATACCACACATATCCAACTGGGAATCTCTTTCTACAGTTGCAAGATATATTCCTGCTTATGTACAACCTCTAGACTACAGAATGCACTCTCACTGGTCAGGTGCATCAAGGATTATTCTCTGAGAACACCATATAATGGCCTAGTGTTCTGCATGTTAATTCTGTATATGAACTTTAAGATCCACAGAACATATATTTTGTCACAAGAACATGTAGGAATGTCACATGATCATGACTTGTCCACACTTCACATAATCCTTGGAATGTCACATGATTCTTTGTACGTCACATCATTCCATTTGTGTCACATGATCCTAAGAATGTCATGATTTTAGTTATGCCAAATGGTCCTAGAAATGTCACATGATCATTGTTATGTCACATGATTCTTGATATGTCACATGATCCAAGGAAAGTCACATGATTCAAGGAATGTCACAAGATCCTAGTTATTCAGATGATTCTTGATATGTCACTGTTATGTCACATGATTCTAGATATGTCACATGATCCAAGGAAAGTCACATGATCCAAGGAAAGTCACATGATCCTAGTTATGTCAGATGATTCTCGATATGTCACTGTTATGTCACATGATTCTAGATGTCATATGATCAAAGGAAAGTCACATGATCCAAGGAAAGTCACATGATCCTAGTTATGTCAGATGATTCTCGATATGTCCCGGGATTGTGACAAGTTCACTCCAGATAGTTGTGCCAGGTGACAAGATCACACAAGGACATTGCTCCGCTGTTGTGTGTAGGTGGTGGGCAATGTGTCATGGATACCACTCTCCACACCATGAGGGAACGCCTCTGCGAACTGCCCCCCAGACCATGTCTTCCGTCTGTGGGCTGAAATCAACACATATTTATGTAGTGAGTTTTGTTTAATGCCACATTGAAAAGTGTTTCGGTTGTATATCATGTCATATCAGTTGTATATCATGTCATATCGGTTGTATATCATGTCATATCGGTTGTATATCATGTCATATCAGTTGTATATCATGTCATATCAGTTGCATGTCATGTCATATCAGTTGTATATCATGTCATATCAGTTGTATATCATGTCATTTTGGTTGTATATCATGTCATATCAGTTGTATATCATGTCATATCAGTTGTATATCATGTCATATCAGTTGTATATCATGTCATATCATCTTGATATGGGATGGAAGTGATGCAGGTCTCAGAAGTTCACCAATGGTGAAACCCATAACCGTAACATAATCAGGACAAACTGGAATTGTCCCACGATAAGAGGTTTCTTGCACACTTAAACAATGCAACTCTGTACAGTGACCTGCAGAGCTTTAGACGAGGCCACCTGTGCCTCCACCCTATTGATGAAGCTGTGCACGTACCTGCATCTTGCTTGGTCTTGAGTGTCACCTGCTTGGCCAGGTCCTGACCCAGAGCCAGAAGTTGTGACCGCCGCTGTTTCTCAATCTCCACTTTGCGGTGAATGTTTTGACCAATATGACTGATGTCGGGCTGAGACAAGGAGTGTACACTGGAACAAAGACATGCAGCATCAGCAATGATCACATACTTCATACCAATATCTTTTGATGAGATCAGAGGGAAGCAAAGGGCCTTGTGGTAAGCCAATTGTTCAAACCACTTAGCAAAACTGTTCATTATCATCCTGTAAAGTCACAATTTTGTACATCCTTCACCATTCTACCATGTACCTGGACCATTCTGTCCAACACAACCTTGTACCCTGACTTTCTTTAAATCTCATCCTGTACCCTGACAATCTCATTAAAATCAGATCTTAGTTCTCGCTACCGCTAAACTTTGTGAACTTTGACCGACCAATGGAATGACCAATCAGAAGGCAGCTTTCTCATGTTTTACGGCACTAATTTCAAATTGGCGACTGCGCTTCGAAACATATTTTGACAAATTCTCAATTACAAATTTGAAACCTGAACAAAAGAACATTCTGGAATGGCTAATAGATGGTCTAGATTGTATGGATACAGTCGTTAGACCCGTAGAGGCTGCATGATCAGAAATCACATTCCGATTGTCAATTTCACAATCTGGTAAGGGATGCTCTGACTGGTCGGATGAAAGGTCGTTCTGACGTGACCCATAATGGGATGTCCTCAGATCTTTGTTTAGCGGTAGCGGGAACTGAGGTTTGATTTTAATGAGATTGGTACCCTGAGTATTCTGTACCATCTCACCCTGTACCCTGACTATTCTGTACCATCTCACCCTGTACCATGACTATTTTGTACCATCTCAACCTGTACCCTGACTATTCTGTACCATCTCACCCTGTACCCTGACCATCTCACCCTGTACCCTGACTATTCTGTACCATCTCACCCTGTACCCTGACTATCTGTACCATCTAACCCTGTACCATGACCATCTTACCCTGTACCATGACTGTTCTCTACCATCTCATCCTATACCCTAAACATGCTGTACCATCTCACCCTGTACCCTAACCATTCTGTACCATTTCAACCTGTACCATGACTGTTCTCTACCATCTCACCCTGTACCCTAAACATTCTGTACCATCTCACCATGTACCCTGACCATTCTGTACCATTTCACCCTGTATCATGACTGTTCTCTACCATCTCATCCTGTACCCTAAAGATTCTGTACCATCTCACCCTGTACCCTGACCATTTCACCCTGTACCATGACTGTTCTCTACCATCTCACCCTGTACCCTTAACATTCTGTACCATCTCACCCTGACCATCTCACCCTGTACCCTGACCATTCTGTACCATCTCACCCTGTACCCTGACCATCTCACCCTGTACCCTGAGCATCCTGTACCATCTCACCCTGTACCCTGAGATTCCTGTACCATCTCACCCTGTACCCTGACTTCTGTACCATCTCACCCCGTACCCGAAACATTCTGTACCATCTCACCCTGTACCCTGACCATATCACCCTGTACCCTGACCATTCTGTACCATCTCCCTATGGCTTATTTACTACTCTAACCATTGCTGCAAGCCGATCTCAACATGACCACACCCCTGTATTCCAGCCCCCAACTACCTGGATGAATGGGCAACCCACCTCTGATTGGCTAGGATCCTCTTGATCTTCTCGGCCTTCTCTATGCGTTCTATTCTCTGTATTCTATGTACCCTGAGCATTCTATACCATTTCACCCTGTACCCTGACCATTTCACCCTGTACCATGACTGTTCTCTACCATCTCACCCTGTACCCTTAACATTCTGTACCATCTCACCCTGTACCCTGACCATTCTGTACCATCTCACCTTGTACCATGACTGTTCTGTACCATCTCCCCATGTACCCTGACCATTCTGTACCATCTCACCTTGTACCATGACTGTTCTGTACCATCTCACCCTGTACCCTGACCGTTCTGTACCATCTCACCCTGTACCCTGACCATTCTGTACCATCTCCCTATGGCTTATTTACTACTCTAACCACTGCTGCAAGCCGATCCCAAAATGACCACATCCCTGTATTCCAGCCCCCAACTACCTGGATGAATGGGCAACCCACCTCTGATTGGCTAGGATCCTCTTGATCTTCTCGGCCTTCTCTATGCGTTCTATTCTCTGTGCATCAGTAAGATCCTCTTCATCAGAGTCAGGAACATAACGCTCCGGGATGTCCACCTTGTCAGGCCGGAACAACTAAAACACAGGTTAATGTTGGTAACACCAGAATAACTACCAACAACTGATCACTGATCATACTTGCAGAACTTCTGCTTCGATGAGTCAGTGGTTCACAGCATGAGCCACAATCTGTCATTGTGAGTATTGTTTTCAACGCTTTTATATTCCAGCAATATCACCCGGGGACAACAGAAATGAGCTTTACACATTGTACCCATGTTGGGAATCGATCCCAGGTCTTCAGCGTGACAAGCAAACGCTAATCCACCGCCCATGTCATTATGAAACTGTGACAAAACAAGAAGCCAGGGCCCCATTCCCCAAAGCAATCTCAGCCCCACGACTACCGTAGGCCTATGATAAAGTATGGGAGTTACGATCATCTTAGCGCTAAGATCGCTTCGTGGAACAGGGCCCAGAACACAGTTTAAAGTTTTTCTTGCCAGCTGGTCACACATCCATAAACAATTATATATCATGAGATGTCACGAGCAATGTCCAACACCGTTGGGATACAATGACACACAATCAACCAAATCACAGAACTTCAGCCCATGATCCATGTAGTACCTTGCACGCCCAACATAGGCTGCTCCGGACCTATTCTACCCAGAAACCACCTGGTTATAAAAGTTAGGCAGAAATTCACTCACAATCTCCCGCTCAATGGTGTATTCATCAAACGGCTCTGTGTCCACCTTCTGGGTAGAGCTCTTCACTATGTCAGGCACATTGTCAATCTGAAGGAAGAACACTAAGTATAGCTGTTATATCTCTCTATGTGTGGACATTCACTACTCTAAAATATAAAATTATTTTCAGAGATTATGATACATTAATTTATATGTCCTGTCTGAAACTTCTGGTGTAATAGTATACCGTAGAACATAAATAAATGACATGCACTTAGTACATTCTGATGTTATTGATGAACTATTTCCAAAGTGCAGACTAGTGTAGACCATAAATCATGAAATTGTAGCGAAAAATGCTACTCTCCCTTGTTCGTGTTTAAATAGTGACACATTGGACATACTGCAAGTTCATTGTCACATCAGGGTTTACTGCTTATATCGGAAACAAGGAAATACATAACAAAGCTCCTAATAAACAATGTAATTGATCGCTAGAATTAGTGATTTTCCACAAGTACCTTGTCTTTGAAAGGCATTTAGAAGTGATACACATAAGGAAGAGATTTTATGGATGTCAACTTCTATATTATGAGGCACACCACGTTTAGGCGTATAAGCTTACTCCTTCATCACCTGATGAATAAATTCTCTTCCTTATGTGCACCATATCAAGTGTGGGTTTGTCTATATAGGTTGATCAAGCAGTTATAAAAGTCGCCAACCATGTATGAGGCCATATTTGTTGCAGTAACTTTGTCAAATAATCTCCAATCTGATAATTACCAGCTATAAACATTGAAAATGTCCAGTACAGTGAGTGAGTGAGTGTGGTTTTATGCCACTTTGGGCAATATTCCAGCAAACATCATAGCAGGCAGTACAGTAATAGCAGTCGCAGTGTTATTGATTGCTGATTAGTTTTTAAAGCCTAAAAGTAGGTCTACTTGCTTGAGTTTTTTAACACAGGCCAGGGGTCTTTAATTTAGTAATTATAACATAAATATCACATGTGCAGCGTATTCTGAATAACAAATTAATGGTTATAGCAAACTTATTTTTCTCCCCAGAGACACAAAGATAATTATTTTCTTACTCATAACAAACAGGTCAAATTCAATCAGTGTCAGTAACCATCCAAGGTGAATCCAACAACAGCATGTAATAATCTCATTGTCACTTAACCATGTTAACAACAATTACAGATTGCTGAACTTCAATAATTGTCATAGTTAACCATGATTGGATCTAATAATTTACATACGAACCACCAGCAAGACTTACCGATCTGTTCATGATAAGATCCCCAGCCGAACTGTGCAACGTGTTTCCCAATAATGATGAAGTCTCCCTCTTGTAGGGCTCACTGCTTGATATTGTCATGTAACGACCTTTAGGGGACTTCTTCACATTGAAGATGCCAGCACTACCTTCTCTTGCCCATGGCTTAGGAGCATACACACGGGATGCTTGTGCCGACCTCGCACCATTAGGTCTGAACACCACAGGAGTGGAGAAGGCACTGTTTGACGTCTGCACCATGTCACGGTTCCCATCAGGAGGGCCTTGTTCTGAGGACAAGTCCATTTCACTGAAGAAGGGCCGTGCAGTGAAGATGCCGCTTGCACTGCTGGTTTTGTCTTGGTAGGGGATGAAGGGTTTGGGGGCAAAGAGTCCGATGGATGAGCGGCGTGAACTTGGGTTGGAGTTGAAGTTGGTGAGGACTGGTACAGAGGCTGTGCGAGCCAGGTGATCTGCATGTGGCAGGTTCTCATACACGGGACCTGGGTCAGCAGCTCGGTCTATGTGGGAGATCTCTGATGCATAGCTGGAACTGATGTCGGATGGATAGCGGACGTGGTTGGGAAGTTCAGACTGGAGAGAAACAAATAATTGTCAGAGTAACTTATGTATTTTTGTACTGTGCGTTTTAAACATCAACAAGAATAAAACAATGATTTAATAAGAGGCTCTGAAGATATGAAGAAGTATGTGAATCTCTGTAAACAGATTACCACTTAATTGATTCTTGTCCAGCAGTTTCAAAATATGAAATTGATATCAGCAATTATTATGCCCAAGCTCTTGCTAAGCCATTATGATCAGAAAGAAAGCTCATGATTCAGAGAAAACTTCCACAAAAGAAAACTCTAAAAATCACTAAAATGGTGAACAGACTGTTTAATTCACCACTATTACATATGAGCAGACCCGTGAAGATTCCGGGGTAGAATAGGTCTTCAGCAACCCATGCTTGCCGTAAAAGGTGACTATGCTTGTCGTAAAAGGCGACTAACGGGATCGGGTGGTCAGGCTGACTTGGTTGATGCATGTCATCGATCCCTATTGCGAGGATCGATGCTCATGATGTTAATCACTAGATTGTCTGGTCCAGCCTCGATTATTTACAGACCGCCGTCATATAGCTGGAATATTGCTGAGTGCGGCATTAAACAACAAACCAACCAACCAACCAACATATGAGCAAAGTTGTGTGAGTAAACTAATTTTGATTTCTTTTCCAGAAAGTTATTTCAGGCAAAGTCATACAGATCACATCTTCCCGAGGCAAGGGAGTTAACTGACTTTAAAAGTCCAGTCTCCACCCTTGCTGAACTGGGCTGGAATTCTTGGGCTCGATCGTAGCGCCACCAGTGGTTATTACGAGTTATGTCCCTTCTAAGCCTCTCCTAAGGACCAATCAGATTCCACCTCTCATATCACTTGCATTTGCTTCAAACAAAATTGTGGCGCCAAGTCAAGATGATCTGATCGATAATCAAGATCTATATTGTGATAAAACGAGTCTTACATCGCGAAGTGCATCAAATCAAGTGAGCACCTTGATTAAAAACATGAAAAGACTTCGAAAATATCTGTTGACAACGAGTTGGCGGTGCATATGCTTTTCAAATCCTGCAATCGACCGAAATCTGCACGACAGTTTACCAACCGGATTTCGATTTTGTTGCGCGATTGTGATTGGACTATGCATAGACTCGTTAGTCCAGCCAAAATGTAACTCCATAATACCAGCCTAGTTCGGCAAAGGTGGAAACTGGACTTTTATAGTCAGTTAACTCTCTTGCCTCGGGAAGATGTACAGATTGCTGTATCCTTTACATAATATTCCAGGGGAGGATACATATCTATTATCAGATGAAGGTTACGACCTTTACATAAAAACACATCAAAGCTCTCTCCCTTTCTGCAATCAACGAACAGTCAGTCAGCAAATAGTGAAGACAGCAGTATTTTAGTTATAGCGTCATGAGGATGAGGGCCCATAGTGTAGAAGAGAACAACACTTACATCACTGTCTGTGGGCAGCTGTTGGGAGCTGGACACGGAATACCACCCAGTGCTGCCTACAATACAAACATAACATCAAGCTGATCCTCCATTTGCCTAGGTCATCTCAAAGGTCAACATCAACTTAGAATTTGAGACATTTTACATAAAGTCTGGAAGGTAATTTAAGGTACCGACGTTTACTACAATATCTGAAAAACTATCGGACCTACTCCAGTCAAAGTTGGTATGAGATTATTAAACAGTCATACATAACTGGATATTACATTTAAAGACAATCGGTGCATGAATAAAAAATCTGTCTATTTAGCTATCACTATATTTTAACAACAACCAGACCTGTTCGTCACGGGTGGAACGAGCATTTATTGAAACAGCCATCTGCATAATGCTACCCCTGCGTCACAGGGCCATATGACACAGTTGAACCAATCAACTCAACTCAAAAGGGTGCACAGGAATCACGAATATGCACAACAGGTCTGGTTGTTGATGAAATATATAGTGATAGCTAAATAGACAGATTTTTTATTCCTTTGTACGTATGCTGAAAAAGCTTCATTGGGTATTTATGCGAGCTGTTTTTATACATACCCACTACACTGCCTATTGCCTACTACACTGCCTACTACACTGTCCCCCCGATGCCCCCGACTGATGTCTATACCTTCATCCTCACGTCGCATCTTCTCCCTCTCCTTCCTCTGTTCAGACTGGCGCTTCACATCACGAACAGTCAGCACCTTTGGTCGTTCTCTGGGAATAATACCTGCAAGGAATTCCAAGGTCATTGCAGGTCTTGTGAGCAAGATATCCTTTATTTGGAAAAGCAATAACTTAAGACAGGTATAAACACAGCACAAAAACCTCAAATAGAAATGGAGCATCCATCATATTAGTGATTTAAAGCATTGGATGATCTGATATATTGCCGGTACACCTGTTAATCGTGATACAAAACTTGATACAACAATACGTACTGCGATACAATTCGAACAGTTCAGCATATTGAGAAAATATGTATATAAATGTGTTTCTTTGGGTACTTGTCGTATAATGAAAATCTTCTGGTACAGCATATTTCAGATGAATAGTGGACCCGTGAAGAACCGGGGTACAATAGGTCTTCAGCAACCCATGCTTGCCGTTAAAGGCGACTAAGCTTGTCATAAAAGGCGACTAACGGGATCGGGTGGTCAGGCTCGCTGACTTAGTTGATGCATGTCATCGATCCCAATTGCGTGGATCGATGCTCATGATGTCAATCACTGGATTGTCTGGTCCAGGCTTGATTATTTATAGACCGCCGTCATATAGCTCGAATATTGCAGCGCTAAACAACAGACCAAACGCAAACCAGATGAATAGTATTTCTGGTATGCACTGTCTAAGGTAAAATAGGCAGGTGCTGTCATAACCAGAGCAACGATTAAGCGTCTGTGCCTAAGATTACTTTGGCCAACACATTTATGTCCCCAGTAATGGCAGCCCTGTTTCTTGTTACTGGTTAAACATTACTGCAGCTCAAAATAACTAATCTGTTTATGTCTTCGCGCTACATATATCAAATGTCAATGACAATATATAACAATGTCACACCATGAATGTCATACATTGCAACAACATTCCATTGGTCTGTCCTTGTGAGAAGCATTGTATAATTGGTACATATTCTCCTCTAGGTACCCTGGAATCCCGGGCAAGGGAGTGAGTGAGTGAGTGAGGGAGTGGGTGGGTGAATCCCGGGCAAGTGAGTGAGTGAGTGAGTGAGTGAGTGAGTGAGTGAGTGAGTGAGTGAGTGAGTGAGTGAGTGAGTGAGTGAGTGAGTGAGTGAGTGAGTTGTCATTTATGATATTATAGTTTTATCACATCTTGTGAACTGTATGAGGGAGGAAAGCCCGAAGTGATACAGCTCTTAGACATTTACCAATTCGTGAAACCCATGAAGGCTGGTGCTGACAAACAAAAATCATGATCAGGGCAATTCTGGGATTTGAACCCACGACTGTAGGATTCTGGCATGACAAAGTGATGCAACTCTTCACAGTGAACTACAGTGGTGGAGATGACTGAAGCCGCCCATGCCGCTGGCTGAACAAAAGACACTTACCGAAGAACCTCTTGGTGTTGTCATCTGCCTCACTAATGTCCCAGGTGGCATTGGGGTCATCGGGGTCGACCATGTTGTCTGTGGCGTCTGTTGAAGTTGCCAGACTACTCTGTAACATGAAAGTCAGTGTAAGGTATTCTATCAACGTTTGTACTGTTGTGACATATCTACTTCACTACCTTGACCTCTCTGCAGGCTGATGATCTGGATCCCGTTCAGCAAAGCGATTGTAGTACCAAGGTGATCGTAGCTCCCATACTTTGTACAAAGAGGCATCATTATATGCAGCATTAGCAACTAACAGTTTTCGTCCACTAGTCCTTATAATGATAACATATAGCAAAACCCTTAAAAATGGCAATTTTCTACTAGTCCTTATGATACCTTACCATTGGGCAGTTTGGCAAGGACTATAGGACAAGTTCCAATTTCTAACCCTGGCATGATGACGCACAATAAACAAAGTCACACATTTTGACTAAGTATTCCTCATTTCAGTTTTCCCCAATCTGACCTGGTCCCCATTCCACAAAGAAATCTTAGTGCTAAGATGTTAACTCCCATACTTTAACATAGGCTTATGATAGTCATAGCACTAAGATCACTTTGTGGAACAGGAACCAGGAGCCCTCAAGTGGGTTCTCCAACTGACCTGCTGTCTCTGGTTTCTGATGACAGAGAGCCTGGTCATAACTCCCATACTTTAACATAGGCTTATGACAGGCCTTGCACTAAGATCACTTTGTAGAACGGGAACCAGGAGCCCTCAAGTGGGTTCTCCAACTGACCTGCTGTCTCTGGTTTCTGATGACAGAGAGCCTGGTCATAACTCCCATACTTTAACATAGGCTTATGACAGGCCTTGCACTAAGATCACTTTGAAGAACGGGAACCAGGAGCCCTCAAGTGGGTTCTCCAACTGACCTGCTGTCTCTGGTTTCTGATGATAGAGAGCCTGGTCATAACTCCCATACTTTAACATAGGCTTATGACAGGCCTTGCACTAAGATCACTTTGTAGAACGGGAACCAGGAGCCCTCAAGTGGGTTCTCCAACTGACCTGCTGTCTCTGGTGGCTGATGACCGGGAATCTGGACACAGGCTGGTTGAGGCCCTCTGCATAGCTCATGGTCATCATGGGTCGACCTAGACTCTCCACTGCCTTCCCCTGGTCAGCACCTGGGGTCCCTGGGGACATCATCCGTAGGTCACCCATGCTCTTGGATCTGGGGGTCAGTTGATGGGGGCTACGGGGAGACTTGGAGCCGGACATGTCAATACTCTCCATTGTATCCAGGTCTGTAATCATATAGCTTGTGTTCTTCTTCCTTGTTGGCTCAGAGTCTGAAATCAGAAGAACAGTGGAATAAGTACAAAGTGTTACCACAGTGAGTAAGTAAGTGGGTTGGGTTAAACATGGCTTTGAACAGGCTTTGAACAGAACAAGGGGGTCCAGTCCTTAGACATTCATCAATCTGCTGAAACCAACAAGCACGGGTATGGTGCTGACAAATCTAGAAACATGCTCAAGGGATGCAACTCTGCACAGCCTTAGACTACCAAGGTTACATAAAAATGTTTCTACATACCCATGAGTATGGTAGTCCAGACAAAAGCTATCATTCAAGTAATGACCAACTGTCAGTACCTTAAGTGCAAGAAATAGTTCTAACACTTGGGTCAAAATTTTAACATTTTTTTTCAAATCATACAGAAATATATGCATGAAATGTGTTTTGGGTGAACAATGCATCATTGCGTACACATTACACACTGAAATATCCCAAATAGGTAGAACTGTTTTATAAACAATTACTTATTGTAAGGCGCCCATGTCCAAAAGTTCAAAATCAACCTGAAGCAATGTCTACTGATTGCGGAAGAAGCCATGTCTACTGATTGAGGAAGAAGCCGTGTCTACTGATTGAGGAAGAAGCCATATCTACTGGTTGAGGAAGAAGCCATGTCTACTGGTTGAGGAAGAAGCCATGTCTACTGATTGAGGAAGAAGCCATGTCTACTGATTGAGGAAGAAGCCATGTCTACTGATTGAGGAAGAAGCCAAGTCTACTGATTGAGGAAGAAGCCATATCTACTGGTTGAGGAAGAAGCCATGTCTACTGGTTGAGGAAGAAGCCATGTCTACTGATTGAGGAAGAAGCCATGTCTACTGATTGAGGAAGAAGCCATGTCTACTGATTGAGGAAGAAGCTGTGTCTACTGATTGAGGAAGAAGCCATGTCTACTGATTGAGGAAGAAGCCATGTCTACTGATTGAGGAAGAAGTCATGTCTACTGATTGAGGAAGGAGCCATGTCTACTGATTGAGGAAGAAGCCATGTCTACTGATTGAGGAAGAAGCTGTGTCTACTGATTGAGGAAGAAGCCATGTCTACTGATTGAGGAAGAAGCCATGTCTACTGATTGAGGAAGAAGTCATGTCTACTGATTGAGGAAGAAGCCATGTCTACTGATTGAGGAAGAAGCCATGTCTACTGATTGAGGAAGAAGTCATGTCTACTGATTGAGGAAGAAGCCATGTCTACTGATTGAGGAAGAAGCCATGTCTACTGATTGAGGAAGAAGCCACGTCTACTGATTGAGGAAGAAGCCACGTCTACTGATTGAGGAAGAAGCCATGTCTACTGATTGAGGAAGGAGCCATGTCTACTGATTGAGGAAAAAGCTGTGTCTACTGATTGAGGAAGAAGCTGTGTCTACTGATTGAGGAAGAAGCCATGTCTACTGATTGAGGAAGGAGCCATGTCTACTGATTGAGGAAGGAGCCATGTCTACTGATTGAGGAAAAAGCTGTGTCTACTGATTGAGGAAGAAGCCATGTCTACTGATTGAGGAAGAAGCTATGTCTACTGATTGAGGAAGGAGCCATGTCTACTGATTGAGGAAGGAGCCATGTCTACTGATTGAGGAAAAAGCTGTGTCTACTGATTGAGGAAGAAGCCATGTCTACTGATTGAGGAAGAAGCCATGTCTACTGATTGAGGAAGAAGCCCCGTCTACTGACGTCCTGTGTACCTTTATCCATGAGGGCTGCAAGCTGGGTGCCTGAAGAGGAGCGTCTGAGTGTGTTCATGGCCTGGGACAGGCGGCCTCTCTCAGCTGACAGTCCGGCCATGATGTTGTTCACCTTGGCGAGTTCCTTCTCCATCTGCTGCTTGGTCTTCTCAGTGTCTCCTCCGCCCTGCAGCACCACATAGGGGGGAGAGTGTTCAGTGGTTACATTTGTTTGTGTTGCTATAGCAATAAATAGTCTGCAATATTCCAAATATAACACAGTGGCCAGTAAGTAACTGAATCAGGGACAGACAAACCTGTGCTTGATATTATGAGCACCGTCACACATCATCTGTGTATGATGACAAAGATTCAAGCAAGTCAAGTCTGTTCACTAAATCCAAGTTAGTAATAGAACCTTGGGGACCTTTTCTAAATCGGGTAACCACTTGATGTTTCTTGATGTACACAAGTCCATTAATAAACTTCAAAACTGATACCCACACAAACTTTGAACAAAAGTGAGTTGTGTTTGATGTCACTTTGAACAGTATTTCATATCACAGCATGTGGGAAAAGGCCCAAAGTGGTGAAGATCCTTAAACTGTATCACTTGGGTAAGACCAACACAGGTATGATGTTTACAAACCATGGGCCATAACTAAATTATATAAAATTAGTATATAAGTAAATCCTCAAAGAGTGATAGAGTTGTAGCGTGAGTGAGATGGGTTTTATGTTGCTTTTAGCAACATTCCAGCAATATCAGAGCACCAGAAATGGGCTTTATACACTGTACCATGTAGGGAACCGACCCAGGCCTTCAGTGTCACAAGTGAACGCTTTAGCTTTGAGGCTACCCCTCTACTCCGATTCCTCATATTAGTTTGTCTATGCTGTGACCTACCAGAGACACAGCGCTCCTACTCCTGGAGAGTTCCCCATTAACCTTGGTCCTCAGAAGTGCCACCTCATGCTCCAGCTTGTTGTTCTCCGCCGTGGTTTCCTCCAGCTCCTGCAACACATTATCCTCTCAAGTACACATCAATTCCAGCTCAGTAACTCCAACAGTGTGTTTGCTTCACAGTTCTTGGGTTAACAAGTACACTCGTCTTCAAATTCTCGCATCTATATTTCACTAGGCAGAATAATTACATGGGCGGATATGAAGTTTCGACATTATTTCCTGATGGGAGTCCTCCCAATGACATCAATGCTTTGACAACAAGAATGCTTTTCGCATATTGTACCTTATTAAATCAAGGTCCTAAAGTGATAACAGACCACTTAACCATTAGGTTATCCCAAAGCCGTTAAGAACTAAGACTCATTACAAGTCAGAGCTGTTTTTCTGCCAAACATCATGGTCCTCTATTGTAAAAGTAACAAGACACTGTGAAACTGTTTATTGTGCCTGTATGTCATAACATTGCATGTGATCACTGACCTGTGATGCCTCCGCTAGCTGTTGCATGATGAGGGACAACTCCTTCTCAATGGTCAGCTGCTGGTGCACCAGCTTGCTCATCTCACGCGGGTCGTTCCGCCAGTGGTCCTGCTGCCTGATGATCCCCTGCAGGGCTTTCTCTAGAAGCTCCTGAAATACAGACATCAGTAGTGTGATGTCCTGGACTGAAATGCCAGTAGTGTCATGTCCTGGACAAAAACATAAGTAGGTGTGATGTATTGGACTGAAACAGCAGGTGTCATAAGTCCTTGACAAAACTGTCAGTAGGTGTCATGTCTTGGACAGAAACAGCAGGTGTCATAAGTCCTTGACAAAACTGTCAGTAGGTGTCATGTCTTGGACAGAAACAGCAGGTGTCATAAGTCCTTGACAAAACTGTCAGTAGGTGTCATGTCTTGGACAGAAACAGCAGGTGTCATAAGTCCTTGACAAAAATGTCAGTAGGTGTCATGTCTTGGACAGAAATGTCAGTAGTGTCATGTCTTGGACAAAAACATAAGTAGGTGTCATGTCTTGGACTGAAACAGCAGGTGTCATAAGTCCTTGACAAAACTGTCAGTAGGTGTCATGTCTTGGACAGAAACAGCAGGTGTCATATGTCCTTGACAAAAATGTCAGTGGGTGTCATGTTTTAGACAGAAACAGCAGGTGTCATATGTCCTTGACAAAACTGTCAGTAGGTGTCATGTCTTGGACAGAAACAGCAGATGTCATAAGTCCTTGACAAAACTGTCAGTAGGCGTCATGTTCTGAAATGTCACAGAAATGTCAGTAGGTGCCATTCCTGGACAGGAACATTAGTGGGTGTCATGTTGCAGACAGCTATATCGATAGGGGTCATGTCTTGGACAGACACATCAAAAGGTGTCATGTCTTGGACAGACACATCAGAAGGTGTCATGTCTTGGACAGACACATCAGAAGGTGTCATGTCTTGGACAGACACATCAGAGGGTGTCATGTCTTGGACAGACACATCAGAAGGTGTCATGTCTTGGACAGACACATCAGAGGGTGTCATGTCTTGGACAGACACATCAGAAGGTGTCATGTCTTGGACAGACACATCAGAGGGTGTCATATCTTGGACAGACACGTCAGAAGGTGTCATGTCTTGGACAGACACATCAGATGGTGTCATGTCTTGGACAGACACATCAGAAGGTGTCATGTTCTGGAATAAAATGTCATAGAAATGTCAGTAGGTGTCATGTCCTGGACAAGAACATAAGTTGTGTCATGTTCTGAACAGGTTGGTGTAAATAAGTGAGTGGTCTAGGAAACCAAGCGGTACACTGCATGTTCAGCGACTAACAGTGGAAAGTCCAAGATACATACATGTGTCTGAATGATTTGTATAATTTCCTGGAGTACAAACCTTATCCTCCCTGAAACTGACAACCTTGAAGGACTGCTCTTGCAGATTCCGATCCAGCTCATAGAGTCTCTCGAGTTTCTCCTGGAACAAAACATAAAATAGCAGAAAAAAGTGAATGGTATTTGATGTCAGTCAGCAACATTACAGCTATACCAGTAAAATATCTGTCAGGAACATATGTCTGGCCATGCAAAAACAGTTCTCAAATTCACATTGAAAACACTATTCATGATGGCCTGTTAGTAGAATTGTGGGTCCTGATCAACCCTATAGATATGGCATGACACCAACACAGCAAGGTTGTAAATGATATTCACGCTACCTTTCTGATTCCTACTTTTCTTCAACCCGGACATCTTGGCCACGAGTGCTAAATTGAGTGACTGAGGTTCAACATTGCTACAAAAAGTATCTGAATGATATCAACGTAATGTGGGAGCACTGACACAGGCGGTAGACATTTACCATTAGCATTCAAACAACATCCTGGCATATATAAGGGGAACAACTGCACAGTGAATTGCAGCACCTCAAGATCACTGGTACTCAGTACCAAACTGAAACATTACTTATTACAAAAAGGCAGTATCAAATTGTTGAGACAAACCTCAAGATCCACCTCCTCAGCTGACAGCTGTTTGATCTCCTGCTCAATCTCCTGGACAAACTTTTTCTCCTGGTGTTGTCGTGAGAACAGCAGCATGTCCCGGGGTTCTGTGTACTGGTCTGGCCGGAGCAGGTGCTAGCAACATGAACAAACAAGAGTCAGACCAACTGGAGGCATGTTCAAAATACTGCTCAACAAAACAAGGAAAATATTCATGTAACAAGTGTAAGAACAAGGTTCAAGGCCGAAAATCTGTACAGACATTTTTTTTGTATAAACTTCATCAACATATGATATTACCATTATCCTGTAACTCCAAGAACAGTATAAAAAGCAGTGTACACCCCCTTCCTCAACTATGAGCTTCATGAAGTAACATCAACATATTTCTGATATCTGAATATTCCCAAAGCAGTATCACCTTCTTGTACTGAGCCTCAAGAGCTATTCACCACATTCCTATTAACTGAATATTCTAATAGACAGGTATAACCATTGTACACACCTTCCTATACTGAGCATCAAGAGCTATTCAACACATTCCTAATATCTGAACATTCTTACAGAGTGGTCTAACAATCATACACACCTTCCTCTACTGAGCATCAATAGCTATTCAACACATTCCAAATATCTGAACATTCTAACAGGCGGAGTAACCATCGTACACACTTTCCTATACTGAGCATCAAGAGCTATTCAACACATTCCTAATATCTGAACATTCTAACAGAGCGGAATAACCATCGTACACACTTTCCTATACTGAGCATCAAGAGCTATTCAACACATTCCTAATATCTGAATATTCTAACAGAGTGGTATAACCATCGTACACACCTTCCTGTACTGAGTGGCCAGCATGTAGTTGTCTCCCCCGTACAGACTGCCCATAGTCACCATGTTGTCCACCAGGTTAATGAGGGGCTTGTACACCTCCAACTGAACAAAACACATGACGACTGTCAGTCACACATCACATTACAGGGTTACATAAAACACATTACACACTGACAAGGAAAAAACCCTGTCATATTTGTTTACTTTATTATCAGTGTCCATGAGCAATGTTGAGTAACTTCAATTAGGTCTTACTTGTTTACTTTTCTTATCCATAAAAAGAGTATATAAAGGTATAATTTGAAAACATTTTATTCAAATCAATCTTAGAAATTGTTGGTCAGACGAAATTAAGATAAAATGTCATGAAGTTTTGTCATCACTGAATTTGTTTTAGACTAGACTGGATGAAAAAAACAAGTCTGGCTGGTCATATGAAAATAATCTAAAACAAAACCCTTAATAGTTTTCCCTATTTGCACAGGTTTTCTCCTGGTGGGTGTGCCCCACCTTGTTCTCCAGTTCCTCCAGCTGAGTCTTGTAGTCCTTGTACATCTGGTGGTCCTGCTCCACCTCATGGTCTAGCTCTCCCTCCGAGTTGGAGCGCCTGCAAACATGTACACATCATTACTCCCTCAACGGACACGTATGCAATTAGTACTTATCATAACCAGTCAACAGACAAAAGGTGCATTTAGAAAAGCATACAGATAATATTGACCAATCGACTGATCAAACAAGTTTGACATTGTTGCCCAATCAATGGATATGTGTACATTCAAACAAGTAGACATTATTTCCCCTTCAACAGAACACTGTGCATTCAAACAAGTTCGACAATATTGCCCAATCAAGGGGTATGTGTACATTCGAACAAGTTCGACATTACTGCCCAATCAAGGGGTATGTGTACATTCATACAAGAGGCCCATAGCGACTGTATCGCTCACCTGGATATTTACGCAATCATTGAATCCTCACCACCGGAGAATGCTTCCAACCAAATATGGTTGATATCTATCTCTGAGTTCCAGAGAAGAAGTCGTTTAAAGCAATAAAGCCAGATTACCCCTATATGGCCCCGCCCCTCAGCCCTTTGGGGGATCAGCCCCACCATTTGTACAATTTTGAATCCCCACCACCTAGGGATGCTTCCAGTCAAATTTGGTTAATTCCCCAAGTCGTTTGAATAAATTGTTGACGTACGTACGGTGGACGGACGACTGACGCTATGGTAAGGCATAAGCTCACCTTGGTCACCAAGTAGACATTATTGCTCATTCAACAGATCACTGTGCAATCAAACAATAATACAGACATTATTGCCTATTCAATGGAACACTGTGCTTTGAAACAAATATAAAACCATTACAGATTATTAAACAGATCACTGTCCATTGAAACTAGTTCCGAGGGATTGCTCAGTCAATGGATCACTGTGCATTCAAACAAGTAGACATTTGGTATGAGGCTGTTGGCCTTCCAGTTGTTGGTAAATTAAAAGGTATCCATGTCTTCTAGATGCATTCCATACAATGTACTGCAGACCAGACATTCCTTGTTTTCACTGTATGACCTGTAGTCTGGAACTGTGTTAGTGCATATCTCTGTATATCACCCTGACAGGGCCTACTCACTGCCTCTTGTACTCGCGTTCACTGAGGCGCCGCTCCTGCAGTCTCTGGCGGTAGAAGTCCTTGGCCTTCTCCAGGGCGGACTGGTTCCTCCGCAGTTGGATCAGCAGCAGCACCAGCTCATCATGCTGAATAATAATAATAATAATAATAAGAATGATGATGATAATAATAATAATAATAATAAAAATTATATTGATGAGATGATAATGATGATTATGATGATGATGATAATAATAATAATAATAATAATAATAATAATAATAATAGTGATGTCCTCATGATGATTATGTGTCACTCATAGAAGGCAAGGCTCTTCACCCAAGAGGATTATGATCAAATCTCATAACATTATTACCCTTGTCAACTCATCAGAGTTTCAATTGCATTGTCAGCTCCCTGGACAGCATGTGTCTCACACTCTCCCCACAAAATATCATAAGGGTACATTACTAGACATTGTACTTACAGTTTTGCCAATGAGGTCCCCAGCAGATATGCTCATCCTGACTCGGCTGCCATTGATTGGGTATTTCTTGTTGAGATTCTTTATTTCTCTTGTGGTCTGAAAAAAAAGACATCATCCTTTTTGTTATGACTACTTTCTTGAGATTTACATGCTATTTAAATACAAAGGTGCATGATCTCATCATCCCCAACAAACTAAATGCAATCCCACCACCAAATAATAACAGCACCATTTCACAACAACAGCCCAGTCCCCCAATTATTCAGCCCACTGCTCAACATAGCCCAAACAACAACCATCTACCCAACTGCCAACCTAAAAACACCACCCCAAACACTAACCAAAATCAGCCCAACTGCTAAACAAAAGCATCAACCTCATCACGGGCACAAACCGCCAGCAACCAACCCAACAGCCTCATCACCAAACAATAGCCTAATGAAAAACCCATCTCACAGTACCAACATCTAAACACAGCCCAAGGACCCTCTAGATCAGCCCCACCCTTCCAAACAGCCCCACCCTTCCTCACAGCCCCATCCATTCCTCACCAGCCCCACCCCACCTCAACAACAGACCCATCCCTCTTCACAGCCCCACCCGTTCCTTACCAGCCCGAACTCACCTCAACAACAGACCCACCCCACTCCTCGTACACCCACCCTCTCCTCACAGCCCCACCCCCTCTGCACCAGCCCCAGCCAACCTCAACAACAGCCCCACGCCCTCCTCACAGCCCCACCACCTTCTCACCAGCCCCACTCCCTCTTCACAGCCCCATCCCCTCTTCACAGCCCCAACCCCTTCTCACAGCCCCACTGCCTTCCTACCAGCCCCACCCCCTGTGCACCAGCCCCACCCCACCTGAACAGCCCCACCCCCTCTGCACCAGCCCGACCCTCTCCTCACAACAGCCCCACCCTACCTCAACAACAGCTCCACCCTTCCTCACAGCCCCACCACATCCTCACAGCCCCACCCTTCCTCACCAGCCCCGCCCCACCTCAACAACAGCCCCACCCCCTCCGCACCAGCCCCACCCCACCTGAACAGCCCCACCCCCTCTGCACCAGCCCTACCCTCTCCTCACAACAGCCCCACCCCACCCCACCTGAACAGCCCCACCCCCTCTGCACCAGCCCTACCCTCTCCTCACAACAGCCCCACCCCACCTCAACAACAGCCCCACACCCTCCTCACCAGCACATCTCCGTCGGACATGTTGGGATCCTCCTTCACTGTTGACATGGCTCTGGGCAGTTTCTTCTTCTGTGGTCTGGCATATGTCTCCTCTCTGGGACCTGAAACATGACTCCTTACAGTCAGACACAGGTGCAGTTGGTGGACACAATTCCCCAGAGGAATAGGCACACACCAGGGGGGGGTTACTGCAAGGGTACACAAACTTAGATGTTTCGGTTAGCGCAGTATAACATCCCCCCCCCCAAAAAAAAAAAAAAAAAAAAAAAAAATATACAGTACTGTCTAAGGACAATCTAAACTAAATCTTTTCAAATGATATTGCCTGAATATGCCAAACAGCGAGTTAATTTATAATTTTGTTGAATAAAAGCATAATAAGTGAATGAGTGAGTTGGGCTTAATGCTGCTTTAAACAGTATTCCAGTGTTCGTTTAATGTGGGAGGTAAGCCCAAAGTGAAGCAGGTCAGAGACATGCTGACAATCTAGAAACATATTTGGGGTTTAACCGGGACTTGAACCCACAATCCTAGGTTTCTGGTGTGACCAAGGGATGCAGCAAATTGCAGTGACTCAGACTACATTGCCACCCGTGCCCACAGAAGCATAATAACGGAATGCATGAACAACAACACAACCCATCCGACCGCAATCAACCGGTTCACATGACTTAATCGTGACTTGACCTTCATTAGTCTGCTCTTGCAACAGGTCTTAGGGGTCTATTCTGCCATGGAAGCACCATTAGGTGAAAGTTTGATAAAGCTTGATAAAGTTTAGACAGACTTAAACATTGTTGATGACAGGCCTCAAAGTTTAAATTATTACCATGTAGCCATATGCTACAAGCATTTTGTTCCAGGTAGTCGGTGGTAAAATCAAGCAGTCAAGCCAATATTGTAGGTAGCCAAAAGCATTTGAAATTATCTTTTATCAAATAACTATCATAATATGTACAAGTCATAGCACTAGTCTTGAAATTGTATTTTAGTGGAAACTGTACTTGATTTTTGTTATTTGTGACTCAAACAATGAAGCAATTTATGCAATTTAGATATATCCTTACTAATCTAATGAGCATTGTCAACTGAAATAAAATACTAATTTCATTAATATTTATGTATTTCTGTTCATTGTTGACTTTGGGAGGACTTATATGCAAGTACAATTATTAGCAGACGTGTTTTCCACAATCAGCAGTTATTTATTTTTGTGTCTTCAAATGTGAAGCAATAAAGTTTAGTCGCCACAAGATATTTTCAAGGTAGTCATTTGGCTACCTCTGAGTTTTAGACAGTGGACAAACTGAAATTTATGTCGAATTGGTGACCGTTTTAGTCGCAACTTTGAGGCCTGGATGATGCATTCCTCCTGTATAGATGATGCTCTCCACCATAGCATTGAGTAACCAGCAAGCACTAGTGATTGGCCTGCCACACAGACAGTCATCAAGCTTGCTACTATACAGGGACAAGCTCGCTACAGGTGAGAGCTATTTGCAAACTGCTATTATCCATCACCAAATGTCAGTTGTCAAGTGTAAAATAAAATAACAAAATATCATTTTGTTAATGATCAAGACAAAAAACATAAAATTCAAACTTTCAAGAATTTCTTTCTCAAACAGGTATCTTAAATTTCAAACATCTCCCCTCCAAAACATGCAGCACAATCCCTTTTATCAAAAACCATTTGTTCGTAAATAAGTTTTTACATATAAGTTGATTACCACTTCTTGATGTAACAAGGACATGCCGCCTTGTTTTTAATCATGTCTACTCATGATGTAATATTTATCAATAAAGATTATCAGTACAATTGGATTAAAAGATAAGTAAATCACTGGTTGAACAATCAGTTGAAATTCCACTGTACTTTTACAGTGATGTTAGATGTGTGAGGAATGGTACGAGATAAACATGTATCTAGAATTGCTCACAGCTATATGAGATGCCTATTTGGCTTCTCAAAACTGTTAAAGTTGCAAATGACAACATTGATATAAAGGTACACAATTCTATAGTAATGTCAAAGTTGGGACCAAGTCCTAGGTTAGAGACAGCGTTGAGAATATTTTTCTCAAATTCAAGAAAAGCAAGCACATTTGTACCTTTTTATATCATAAGGTGGTCAGACCTGGAGAATATGTTCGACATAATGGTACAAGGTTACAGGGTTCTGCAGTAGTTTAAAGATAAGATTTTGACAATGCAACACCCCTTGATAAGTGAAACAAGGAAAACAATTAGTTAATATCAATATCATAGCTGAAAGAAAGTCGTCATAAATACTACAATATATCAGCATCATAGTGTTGCTACTGCAATATGTGTAACAAACTTGTGTGAGTTTGGAAACGGTGCCTCATGCATGATCAGGTGCATTATTAGTTGTAGTCAGCTGACTGGCCATGCACACCCGGGATGAGGTTAGCTGAACTGAATAATGGCAAACATCAGGGCTATGAACTGTTAGAACAGAGTTGAACTTGTCATTAGAGTCAGTGGTGGTATAGATCTGAAATGTTGGCAGCAGGGAACACTAGGGTACCTGTCCATTTGTCCTGAATATAACTTTTGCCGATCTCTCTTGCAATTTCTCTTGTCATTTGAATGTAATTTCCGTCATGGTCCTCAGCCTCCCTCTGTCCTGTATCTACTGGACTTTGGTAAAAGTGTGACCTCAAATCATTGCTAGCCTGAAATGGGGAGTTCTCGGTGGGTTTCCGTTCCAAGGTGGAGTTATCTCCCTTGATACTGCTAGTGCAGGACGATGGAGGACGGAATGCTGATCCTCGTTCATACAAGTCTTCCGGTTCATCTAGGTTCTTAACATACGAGCCCCCAGGACTATATACTATAGGGCTGGGTACTCTAGTTTCGGTGTCTGAGTAAATGGGGTCTTCCCGCTTGGTATCCTTGAGTTGAACAGGAGGTTGAATTGTGTCCAAACTTTTCCTTGCTGATCAAAAATTTATGGTTTAAAGTATTTTCAATTGGATAACATTTTAAAGTTTTCTACAAGATGAGCTGATAATAGATCGTGGCATATAAGGAACAGCTACAATGAGTATTAACATCTACAATGCACAGATATTAAACGATAATCATGAGAGATGAGTTAGAGAGACTTGTGACCAACTCAAAACAACATCTATCAGATTGACAGAAACAACAGGATGACAATTCCCTTACAATGGTCATCACAAGGAATCTCCCTCAGATTGAAGAAATACAATACATGGACAACATATAATAACATGAAAATACATTTAGACAGTTGGTTCCTACCTGCTGTAAGGTCTCGCTGGCTCTGTCGCAGCTGTTGGACTCTTTCGTATGCACTTCTCAGTTCCTGTGCCCCTCCCCCACTTTGAGGACGACCTTCACCTCTGTCGACGTCTCTGGTTTGCTTCTGAGGTTCAATTCGCCCATAGCCAACTGGGATCTCATACCTGTTTGACATTGATAACTGTTGTTCATCTGAGCCTTGTCCGACACTGTCTCTTTCCCTGCCTTCTTGAATTACCTCCCTTGGATCACGCTGAATAAAAAGTTCACTTATCAAAATATTATTCAACTTTCCATATCAATGACATAAAAGCTTTACGACTGTAAAAATATGCTATATATTTTCCAAAACTTACAATTCCCTACATAAAGATATAGATAAAAAGTAATCTGGTCAAAATAAAATAATTATTCTGACCATGACTAAACTCTAACCTGTTGTGCAGGTTCTCCATTCCGTGGAGATGGGTACTGGAAGAAGGGTGCCTCCTGCCTCCTGCGTGCTTCATTCTCAACAGATACAACTAAATCATGCGATGTTCGGGGCGTCTTTGTCTGGGCAAGCTCTCTGGCCATTTCCTTGCGTATCTGAGTGGGATATGGAGGTCTGCCCGGGGACTCCTCATTTCCCTGACCTTGAGGGTCTGCAGACAAGTTCACATAGGTTGGTGGGATGTTTACAGTGAGGGATTGGTGCCTCCTCGGGGAGTCGGAACCATGCGGGGATCCCTCAGTGGGATAGCCACCGTATCTCATGTCATGTGGTCCAGCTAGATTGCTGCCAGACGATGACGGCCTCAAACCTGGCATATCTGAACGTTGGAAGGATCCATCCCTATCATCTGATGGAGGTTGGTCCATAGCCCTAGATGATCTCTCTCCTTGGTAACCATTAGCATTTGGGTAATCAGAAGCTCTGGAAGACCTGTCACCATGGTAGCCGTTAGCATTAGGGTAATCAGAAGCTCTGGAAGACCTGTCACCATGGTGACCATCATGTTCAGGATAGTCTGATGCTCTGGAAGCTCTGTCTCCATGGTTACTGCCCATGCCTGAGAACTCGGATGCTCTGGATAATCTGTCCCTTTGGGGCCCATTATTACCTGATTGTATTTGGCGATGCTCTGTTGGTTGATAATTTTCGTCTGGATACAAAGCACCATGACTACCAAGTACAACATCATCTTGAGGAATCCTTTGTTCTCTGAAGCCAGGATCTTCATCCTCTGCTGGATATCTATCCTGACTGTAAGGACCTCTGGAATAGGAATCCCTCTGAGTATCTCTCTCATTTGGAGTACCTTGGTAACCCCAACTTTCGGCAGGATTGCCCCGTGGATCCACAAGTCGAGGATCCACAACCCGAGGATCCACATCCCTTGAATCTTGGCCATAATGGTCCCCACTGTGTGGATCTTCTTGGTCTCTGCTGCCATACCTTCGCTGGTCAGGTTCTTGTGGGTGCCCAAATCTTGGATCTGTTTCTTGCCCATATGACTCAGGCAGACCTTGTGAGTCTCTCTGGTCATAAGGATTAAACCCATGTGACCCTGACCTTTGCATGTCACGTATGCGAGCATATGGGTCTTCCCCTTCCAAATGATGTTCTTGAAGATCTGCCCTGGAGTAACTTCCCCTGGGATCAGTAAAACTGTGTCTTGGATCACTCATACTGCCTCTATTTTGACTTAAGCTCCTATCCCTCTCCTCAGTCATCCTATTTCTCTCCATGTTCTCCCTATTATATGGATCATTGACATTGTATCTGCCATCAACACTAGCTCTCGACACTGTCGACATACTGTTTCGGTCATGAGGTCTCATCATGTTAGGATCACTGGCTCTTGACAAACTGTTCCGATCACTCATCCGAGACATACTGTTCCGATCACTCATACGAGACATACTGTTCCGATCACTCATACGAGACATACTATTTCGATCATTCATGCGGGACATACTATTTCTATCATTCATGCGGGACATACTATTTCGATCACTTTGCCTTGCATAGCTATCTCTCTCGTGAGGCCTTGACAAGCTTTCCCTCTCATAGGGCCTAGATAAGCTATCCCTTTCATGAGGCCTTGAAAGACTATCTCTCTCATGAGGTCTTGACAAGCTATCCCTCTCATAGGGTCTAGATAAGCTATCCCTCTCATAAGGCCTTGACAAGCTATCCCTTTCATGAGGCTGTGATAAGCTGTCTCTTTCATGAGGCCTTGAAAAACTATCCCTCTCATATGGCCGCGAATTGTTATCCTTCATATGAGGCCTGGATAAGCTATCCTGCTGATACGGCCTTGACATACTGTTTCTGTCACTATTCCTTGACATGCTATTCCTGTCATGAGCATCCCCCAACCTATCTGGATGGTGGCCATCTTCTGGGCCAAAGTCATCAGGATGTGATCTAAAGTCTCTTGAGTTCCGATTTGAAGGATTTTCCACCATGCTTCCAGCATGACTACTCCGGTTACTTGGGGGGTACCCAGACCTGGGATCCCTGGGGTCGTGATGCTCCTGATAGTGGCCATCATCTCTCCTGCGGTCATCGTAAGGGCCTCCCTCATGGGGTGCTGGGTACTCTTGGCTGAAGTCTCTTGGGTCTGGAGGCTCCATGTCCTCTTCGCGATGCATCTTGCGGTAACTCCCGGGGTCCTTCCAAGACCTCTGTAGCTCTGGGTTTGGGGGGTAGTCGGTTTCGTCCTCCTCACCCCGGGAGTGGGACCGATGGCGAGGTCCACCAACACGGTTGTTGTTTGTCTCTCTAACAAACCTTGAGGAAAACAGATGACAAGGAATGAAGGAAGGCAGAAAACATTTGCTGCTGTACAATAAAATTTGAATTATGTTAAAAAACTAAAAATGATTAAGAAAATATCAGCTGATAAGAAATTTCTTTGTCAACATACCCAATATATGTTTATCATTAAAATGTGAAACACTTTTACAATTACATTTTAAAATATATGTTGACAAAATAAAATCAATCGGGCTCATCTAAAAAGATATCAGTAATCTAATGTGAATTTCTTTGTCCCTCCAACATTGGTTTATAATAAAGGTTGAAGCTGCTCTACATTTACATTTGGGTGTTGGCAAGTAAATCAATAGAAACCCATCTCAATGATGTGGGTAAATATCTTTCATATGCCAAATCTATCAAAATATTCAAATTTCCTTAAACTGGTTTGGTTTGTTGTTTAACGCCGCACTCAGCAATATTCCAGCTATATGACGGTGGTCTGTAAATAATCAAGTCTGGACCAGACAATCCAGTGATTGATATCATGAGCATAGATCCATGCATTTGGGATACAATGACATGCATCAACCAAGTCAGCGATTCTGACCACCCGATCCCGTTAGTCGCGTCTTACGACAAGCGGTCACCTTTTACAGTGAGCATGGGTTGCTGAGGACCTATTCTACCCCAGATCTTCACGGGTCTTCACTGAGGTTTATAGAACTGATAAAGGATATCTGATAAAAGAATTGTGTAACTGCTGCCTTCTAAATGTTTACTGATGGATGTGGATTATTCCCCATGAATTTGTCTTCAGCATCCATGCTTGTAGTAAGAAGTGATCAACGGGACTGGATGGTCAGACTTGCTGAATTGGCTAATGCGTATCATAGTATCAAGAGTTGCATAGATTGATGCTCATGATATCAATCACTGGGTTGTCTTGTCCAGATCGATTATATATAGACCACCATCGAATAGCTGGAATATTGCTGAGTGTGGTGTTAAACAACAAGCAAAGAAACAAACAAAATGTGGATTATACAAACAATTCAGCAGTGACAGACACACATACCCCTGCTGGCCCTTCATCATGGCGGCCTGGGTCAGCAGAGCTAGCCACCGGTCAAGGTCACCTTGGTTATCGGTGGCAAAGTACAGGGTCTTTGTGTTTTCATGCTCCAGCTGTGAGAGAAACAAATGAAAGACAATTTCCTTAAGCATTTCCAACATCCCTTGTCCTGTATAGGCTTATTGCTCAACATTTTCTTAGACTATTTTCAAAAGAAAACTGTATACACAACAGATCAATAGTTAAGCTTATGATACCAAGTCCTTCATTTGGTACTGTCTAAATTAACACTGACTCTTTTCATTTTGGTGAAATCCATGATGGAGAATTTCAGGGGAGTTGAATCCATGACTCACGATCCTGGCTGGTAAGGGGGACAACTCTTAAACCATTACATGTGAACCTGGATGGGAAGGACACCTCTTGAACCAAGTTGAACAAGGTCATAGACAATATATGACAATGGCGTATAGATAAAAATGAAAAAATCTTTCCATCAATCTCTGTAAAGAAATGAGTCGATTGTATGATTCCAACTACCGGTATATATTAAGCATGTGTTTATGAATCATTATCAAATAGTGATGATACTAGGTGTTCGTGAGGAAGGTGAGCGTATCCTGCCCCACCATGACACCCATCAAAAACACATGCAAAGGCAAGTCAATTGTTCACCATAAAGACACAGGTACATACAGTACAAGTCAAAAAAGGGAATTGCATTGGACATCATTTTTGTCACTGATGCGGAAATAACCTCCACATGCCTTCCATAAGACTTTTGAAAGCTTTACTAGGGCCTTGAATGTTGTTACCTTGATCAAACAACTTCTGAGCAAGAGTGGTATGACGCCAAACACTGCAGTCTGTCACTAGTTACACGTGAGAGCCCTGGCTGTCTCTACTCACCTTGAAGCCATAGTCCCTGTAGACCTGGTCCGCGGTTGTCATGATGTTGATCCTGTAGCTGGGCAGCAGCACCGACGTCACCACACTCGTTTCGTCCCCATCTGTCAAACACGATAAATAGGAATGACAACTAGCCACTTTCTGTCATTTTTTCCTCATTTTAAGGAAAGTATACATCATTATATAATATTTTTTTTAAAGAATTTACAAGAACTTTCATTTTCATACAAGAATTTTTTTAGGGAAACCAATAAAACTTAATAAATAAATTAAACTATGTATTCAATAAATAACTCTTTAAACTTAAGATGTGCCTTTCGGGTTCTTCCATGCCAAATGCTGCTCTCCACACCACAATACAGTGGAAGTGTCACTGTTTGATCTCATTCAGTCACTACAGTTTAGTGTCTTTAGTGCCTTATGCCGGCAGCAATAATAATGTTAATATTACAGCAGCAATTATTTTCTTTGTTCCTTGTGAAAGGGATGGGATAAATATTGCTTTTAACAGTATTTCAGTTATGGAGTCCCAAGTGATATAGACTGAAGTGCTTGAATGAGTGAGTTGGGTATAATGCCACCTTGAACAATATTCCAGTTATATCACGGCATGTCAACTTGTTGTGGGAGGAAACCCTGAAGTGATGCAGGTTGCAGACATTTACCACTAATGGTGCTGATAATCCAAGAAACATAATTTTGGCGAACTGAGATTCAAACCAACAATCATCAGTTTCTGGTGTGTCCAAGGGACGCAACTTTTCACAGCGAATTGCAGGGCCTCTGACGACTGGGCAACCCATGCCCCCAATGTAGACTGTAGATGTTAACCACTTTGGTGCAACTCATGAACCTGGGTATGGTGCTGCCAGGGTTACTGGTATCATGGCAAATCTGAGATTTAAACCCATACTGAACATGTACAGCTAATGAGCAACTGACACCACTGGGACACCGTGGCCATATTCTCTTACACAGTTTTATTGGACAAGACATGTTACCATGGCATTTGAAAGAGTTTGGTTTAGAAAAAAATCATATTCCTCGTCATCAACATGATCTGAAATTCTAAGAAAAGATGTTATTTACACTACTCACCTTTGTAGACAAAAAGTGCAAAGTCAGCTATAACACACCACCTCTTCTTCCATGTTTTGCCTATGGCACCACTTTCCTATGATAGATACACTCATTTCAGAAGAAGAATCAGAATACTTAAACCAGTCAACAAGTAATAATATCCTGGCAAATGGATATTGATAGTGCTAGCAAGCTATATAGAATAAAATGTGAAAAACATTTACTGTATTTGACGTAATAAGCGCCCAGGGCGCTCTCAAAATTAGAAATAGGGGGCTCTTATTAGAATACAAATTTGAGTAATAAAAACAGAGTTGAAAGATCGTAAATTTCGTGGTTTATGCTGACAGCCTGAAATGACAAAGTCTGTGCGTATTATACATGACAGATATATTTTCCAGAATTTAATTGCCCATAATTAAGGGTGCATATAACACACGAGTGCGTATTATACACAAATAAATAAGTCTTGTGTACATTGATCAATCGGAAGGGGGTGCTAATTGGGATTGTTCACATTATTAGCAAATATTGCCATTGGCGCTTATTAGTGCAGGGCGCCTATTACGTCGATTACGGTACATAAAATGGTTATCTTATGACATTGTCTTAAACACAATCATCATATTGAGTAGGCTTTAATGTTATTTTCTTGCTTATGAGCAAACATTTCAATTGGAGCTAAAACAATTGCAAAATACCTGATTTCCAAGAATCTTTGACAAAATAACACAACATGCTAAAGGGACAATTAATATAGAATATGCAATTCAAAACAAATTCTTCATCCAGCAAACGTGAACATTGACTTACAAATCTGTACAGCCAGCCCTTCCTCATCACTGTTGAAGCAGGATTTCGCTTGGCAGATGGGGCTTTGATACTTCTGAAAAAGAAACAGACAGTGCTGAAAATATTTGGATTATATATTGAAATAATACTAGTCTTTAAACAGTCTACCATTCATTTGGCTTTCAGAGATTAAGTTTTAAATGATTATCTGCAGATCCAGGTTTCAAATCAGTTAAGTTTCTTGGACATGACAATCAACCAAAATGTTCAAATATTTACTGGTAGTGTAAATAATTAGTGACGAAACTGATCCCTACCCATGAGTCAACTTCGGAAAGCCCGAAGTGATGCAGGTCTCAGACGTTTACCACTTCGGTAAAACCCACGAGCACGGGTATGGTGCTGACAAACCTAGAAACATAATCGGGGCGAACCGGGATTCGAACCCACAATCATAGGTTTCTGGCGTGCCCAAGGGACACAATCACCGAGCCTGAGCACACAATGCTTTTTAGTCACCTCATACAACCAGCATAGGCTGCTTGGGACCTATACTCTACTGGATTCCCCAAGGGGATATATGTAAACAAACATACAAGACAACTCATAGTAATACATGTGTTACATTGCTCAGATAATACTTAAATAACAAATTTAAAACATGCATGAAACTAAAACTTTTAAGATAATATACTCCGACACTGCTGCTAATGTAAAATATCTGTAATATACACAAAAAATATGGTCATGTACAGTTTCAGTCTCCATAGTGGATGAATTGTTTGATAGGCATATTGGACGTAGTGGACGCTTATAAAGATTACGGTATTCGACGAAATAAGCGCCCGGGGCGCTCTCAAAATTAGAAATAGGGGGCTCTTGTTAGATTATTACTTTAGTGGAAAAAAACGAGTTGAAAGATACATTACGTGGTTTATGCTGACAGTCTGAACTGTTTATATACGACAGATATATTTTTCCAGAATTTAATTGCCCATAATTAAGGGTGCATATAACACACGAGTGCGTATTATACACAAATAAATTTGTCTTGTGTACATTGATAAATCGGAAGGTGGGCTAATTGGGATTGTTCACTTGCCAATATATTAGCAAATATCGCCGTTTGCGCTTATTAGAGCGGGCTGCTTATTACATCAAATACAAACTGGTCCAGAAGTTGGGGCACTCCCTAGAGCAAGGCACTTAATATGATGAATAGAGCATATGCAATACTGACATACCACTTATTTAAATCCAAACAAACCACATGAATACAACAGAGGGCTGATTAATCTGTGTAAATCTATGTGTACCTATTACCTCTTTTATAACCCTTCTGTTGATCTTGTGTATAATACATTTTTATCTTATAAGACTTATCATCAATACAAGTTACTGATATCATATTTATAGGAAAGGAAAAAAGGACCCTTTTTTAATAGTTGGTTTACAAGAACTTTAGTTTAAAATTCAAGGTGGTTGAAAAAAATATATATAAAATTTCAACTTCCAGATAAGTACTGCTGCCAATGAATGAAAAACAAACATGTTCTAACATGGCAAGATACGAAAACAATTTGATTGTTTTGTTGATGACAGAATTTATACAATTTATATATGTAATATTCACCATTTCTTACAATCAGAAGTGATAAAATCTCATGTGCTTTCTATTTCACCTAATTATATGGAGTTGGCTGATTTATTTAAATTTTTAAATTTTTTCCCCTTTAAATTTCAGGTTTTGTGATAATTGGTCACTCTAAAAACAAAACAAACAAGTATTTGTCAGAGAGTGACGAAATATCCCCCGCCTGTACACCATAGTACCAAATATGAGGACAATCCAGCGATTAGTTCTTGAGATATTGTGGCAACACCGTTTTCCAACTCCAAAAACAGATTTGCCTGCTGTGACCTTGAAAATGGGGTCAAGGTCACTAAAACCAACTGGTGTCTGCGGAGTCTGTATATACACCATAGTTCCAAATATGAAGACAATCCAGAGATTAGTTCTTGAGATATTGCGGCAACACCGTTTTCCAACTCCAAAAGCAGATATGCCTGCTGTGACCTTGAAAATGGGGTCAAGGTCACCAAAACCGACTGGTGTCTGCGGAGTCTGTATATACACCATAGTTCCAAATATGAAGACATTCCAGAGATTAGTTCTTGAGATATTGCGGCAACACCGTTTTCCAACTCCAAAAGCAGATATGCCTGCTGTGACCTTGAAAATGGGGTCAAGGTCACCAAAACCGACTGGTGTCTGCGGAGTCTGTATATACACCATAGTTCCAAATATGAAGACAATCCAGTGTTTAGTTCTTGAGATATCGCGGCAACAAACAGGTGGGACGTACGTACGGACGGACGTACGGACGGATGTACGGACGGTCGTGAATACTATATCGCTTTCGCGCGGCGGGGGATAAAAATAAATATAAGGCTATAGAAAGGGTAAATGGAGTTTCAGCCTGAAATACTGGTAGATATATACCGGATATGAACTGATAAGCCTAACCTTGTCACTATGTTCACGTAACTTACATAATGAATTACCTGTCGGCATGAATTGTTAACAAAGAGTTGTAAGGCATATAGTATCGTTCAAAGGTTTCATGTTTACTAGCTTCTAAACGGCAGTTAGAAAGACATTACAATGCCATATCATAACCTTTGAACATTATTAAGGATTTAGATATTCAATTGCATAAACTAACCCCATGTCATGAACAATTCTCTTAAAGCCATAACAAACTGCTGATACTATTCTCAACACAATGGGTTATGAATAATAAATTTACTGTAATAAACCTCAGAGAGAGAAAACAAAGGGTTCTCTGTGACAGCTAACATGTGAAATTTAACAGGAATTATCATGTTATTTGTAACTAAATCCACTAATGATGCCGGTAACAATTTCAAAGGATCTGATTACTGCTGATAAAAGAGGCCACACCTTGATACATCAAATCTTGTACTATGGCTAGTTTGCTATATGCTTGCTCAATGGATAAGGACAATTCTAAAGGAAGATGTGATAGGCGATATTTTTTGCTCAACAGATTTGCATAATTTAAGAAAGAAAACAAGAGCAAAAGTGAGCGTGGCTCACTAATACCCCCGACCCGCCTAGTGTGTCAGTAGTTTCAAATTAAATAGCTAGGATAGGGTTAGGGTTTGAAAAATTCATAAAAAAATGGAAAATTAATAAAACATTTTTTGTCTTTTCACTGCATCCCTCCATATGACACAGATTATATGTACTAAGTTTGAGATGAATCCACTGAATAGTTTAAGAGAAATCGCGCTGACAAAGTTTTCGGATGGACAGACGGATGGACGGACGGAACCTTGGTATAACTATATATAAAAACAACATTATTAAATCCTTTGTAAATAACAGCAAAATGTTAGCAATGCATATCAAAAGCTTTGAATCATTAAGGATTTAAATACGCAGACATAGATTCATAAACTGCTGATACAATTTGCTAATTTTAAATATAAATTTATTAAACAATAAGGCTTAAATTTAGTGTTTTATTCTTCTAAAACTTACATTTTTTCTACTTACACAATACCAAATATTGAGGTATTGAAATGTGTAAAAAAAATCTACAAGGTACAATGTGGCAAAGAGGAGGCCAACTATTGAGACAGAGAGTGTCAGAAGCCATCTTTGGCGCCAATACAACTATAGTCAACAGTAAATGGTCAATGGTCAATAACACATATAGTCAATATCACATATAGACACTATCACACACAGATACTAGCCAATAACACATATTATCAATATCACAGCTGAGAGTTGGTCTTGGTCACCACCCATCCAAGTACTATCATCCATACATAGCCCCCAAAGCGACCAGCAAATCCCCACTTTGGTCACCAAACAGGCATGTACTACTGAGATGTGGTCCTGCTACTGATTCGCACAGCACAAGGGTGAGACATTAGCCACTGGTCTCCTGGGGAACATGGAAAACTTTTAGGACGAGTAGTTTTCTCGAAAAATCTGATCAAATAACCATAGTCTGGGTGACCTGATCGCGCCTGTGCCTGCCCACAGGCCCATGGCAGATCTCGTGTTGGGCCCACAATTTCAAATTTGTATGGGTCCTTACGGCCTCCAGTAAATTTGTGTGTCGATTTAGGTGCATAATAAGCTGCAGTTTTTCAAATGAGGGCCTGAGCTCCATTCCACATTAGGATCGTAGCTCTACAACAGTCATAAGTCTATGTTAAAGTATGGGAGTGACGATAATCTTAGCGCTCCGGACCCTTTGTGGAATGGGGCCCTGAAGTGTTTAGTCAAGGCCAGCAGCTGCTGAAGTCTGTGGGTCCAGGGCCCACTTGCACAAAGTGATCTTAGCACTACGGCTATTGTAAGCCTATATTAAAGCATGGGAGTTACGATCATCTTAGCGCTAAGATCACTTTGTGCAAGTGGGCCAATATGGCGGCCTGGCATTTTTTTATATTTCAAACACTGCTCACAAACACAATTTATTAGAGGATTGTAAGTGCTCCCCACCTTTGTTTGGCCAGGAACTTCTTGGAGTTTCTGTCTGTGGGACTGAGTGGCGCCTGTGGACTATGTGGTGGTGACCTGCAAAGACAAACCATAGCACGGGGTTCTTTAAAACTCTTAGTGGGTGAGTGAGTGGGTGGGTGGGTGGGTGGGTGGGTGGGTGGGTGGGTGGGTGGGTGGGTGGGTGGGTGGGTGGGTGGGTGGGTGGGTGGGTGGGTGGGTGGGTGAGTGAGTGAGTGAGTGAGTGAGTGAGTGAGTGAGTGAGTGAGTGAGTGAGTGAGTGAGTGAGTGAGTGAGTGAGTGAGTGAGTGAGTGAGTGAGTGAGTGAGTGAGTGAGTGAGTGAGTGAGTGAGTGAGTGAGTGAGTGAGTGAGTGAGTGAGTGAGTGAGTGAGTGAGTGAGTGAGTGAGTGAGTGAGTGAGTGAGTGAGTGAGTGAGTGAGTGAGTGAGTGAGTGAGTGAGTGAGTGAGTGAGTGTTGCTTTAAGCCAGTCAGCATTATCCCTGCTATATGATGTCGTGTTTGATAGGCATTTCATAGAAGTTGACAGATGACAAAGTACACACAGTTTATGGATAACAACTTCTTCATTTAACTGTAATGGCTACATTTCGGTAAAAATCCAGCTTGACAACGGCATAAGGATCTATACTGAATCGTGACCATTACAGTAAAACAAAGAAGTTGTTTTCCATAAATTGTGCCTGCTTTGGACCAGGCAATATTAAAGCATGGGAGTTATGATCATCTTAGCACTAAGATCACTTTGTGCAAGTGGGCCCAGATGGCGGCCTGGCATTTTTTTTATTTCAAATACTGCTCACAGGCAAACACATGATTGAAAGCATGCAACAATCCACAGCCTCGGGTCATGATGACATACAATGCTCTTTAATCATATCTTAGGACAATCATAGGATAATGGGGACCTATTCTACCCAAGGGGAGAGATGCATTTTGTTATCAAAAGTTAACATAACTAAACTATATCAGACAGGCAAATTTTATAACAGTATTACTGGATTCGAATTACATCTGCTGACCAAAGATATAATACACACACAGCATATTCCATAAACATGTTAAACATAGTTATTATGTTGAATAAATCTCACCAATGAGTTTTGTTTGTTTGTTGTTTAACACCGCACTCAGCAATATTTCAGCCATATGACGGCCGTCTGTAAATAATCAAGTCTGGACGAGACAATCCAGTGATTGACATCATGAGCATTGATCCACGCAACTGGGATATGATGACATGCATCAACCAAGTCAGCGAGCCTGAACATCCGATCCCGTTAGTCGCCCCTTACGACAAGGATAGTCACCTTTTACGGTAAGCATGGGTTGCTGAAGACCTATTCCACCCCGGATCTTCACGGGTCTCACCAATGAGTAATAGTATTGCATCATGTTTACAATGGCATACACGGTCACCTATAAAACTTTCAAATGTGTTTTTGGTGTATCCAGTGTGAGAGACATTACTGAACCATGAACATACACAGTCAATCTTGTGCTCCATTACAAACAAGGTGGAAACAGCATACAGGTGATTTCTAAAATCTACCTCAATGATAGAAAAACATAAGAACTCAAACGTCTGCCCCACTTTCTTTTTATATGGTTGGTACTCAATGCCACACTTAACAATATTTGAGTGATATGATGGCGGTTTGTAAATAATCGAGTCTGGACCAGACGATCCAGCAAGTCAACGAGCCTGACTTCTCAGCACAGGTTGATGGGGACCTACTCCAACCCAGGATCCCACGGAGTAGTGTATGCCCAACATGCCCACGGCAATCTTTGTTATATTATATAACTCCCTTCCCAGTGGAGAGCAGCATCCAGTAACCTGATCAACCAATGAGACTGGAATACATGTAATAGACCATGCTCTTTCTTACAGTGTAGCATGTGGATTCAATAAACATATTTGTACAGGTTAACAATTTCCTACAAATGAAAGTTGTTTGTACAGAAGAACACGGTTCATGAAAGAGAAGGTCTAAATTAATATGATGGACCAACATACATTTTTCTTATTCAAACGTTTGTTATTATATTGTGTACAGATGGTTAACATTAAGTCACTGGAGGGTCATTTCAAACACAAAGATCATTGCTTTCACAGGTAACTATCCTCCATAGGACTGTGTAATCAAAGGTTTGCACAAGTTTAGGAGTATATTGCAAATGGTAAGTTATATCAATGGTTCAAATGGTAAAAGAATGTGGAGTTCCAGATTTGTAATATTTATAAAAAGCTGAGCAAATGGGTGTCACACTTTGCCTGAAATGTAAGTTACTATTTACAAAGATGAAGGTCAAAAGTTTTGGATTATAAAAAAGATTTCTGCATAAAATATTCACCATGTTCACAACATTTTCTCATTGCAATATTTATATTTTTCCCTTCTAATTTTTTTTAAGTCTTTAAGGATGTATTTAACCATCCTTTAGTAGTGTATTCAAAACTGTAATAAAATATTTAACACTTGTCTTGACAAACCTGGAAGCAAAATTAGGTTGAAACTGGTATTGATCCCACAATGATAGGTTTCAGGTATGTCAAAGGGGAGCAACTCTGCAGAGTGAATTGTGGTGCCTCAGACTGGGCCATCCGTGCCCTCACTAAATATGTGAACACTTTGTGAAGCAGAGCCATGCCTTTTTCTCTGCTTGTGTAGGAGTGCGTTTTACAACCAGTGAATGAAGCATGAAAAAGCTACTGGCACAGACGAGCCCTTGTTTTGCAGGCTGTCACATTTGGAGGTGGAAGTGTCAAGACTGCATCCTGACCCTAAACGTATTTGAAAAGTCTGTATTGATGATTTAGAAAAAGAATTGAACAAGAACCAAGAAATGTTTATCATTAAATAATTGTACGCCATTGTTGTACAGGATTTCAAAATATCCTTTGCACCACATGAAGCTATTCTCATCCAGAGGCATTTTTTATCTGAAATATTCCAAACACTTTTTTGCTGAAGCAAAACACAAATATTTGATTGTTTTATTCAGGGGGCAGAACCTGTGACCGATCGTTGTTGGGGGGGCACCTATTGTCTGGCTTGGCTATTGACATGCTGCCATCGTGGAACCGAAGTTTCCGTGTCAACAATTCTTCCTCATCATGCTCGTATTATTGACAATCAACAACTGTTTCTGTCAATATCCCAACGATAAAAAAAATGATTGGATCAGCAAAATTTCTTTATCATCTTTTTGATAGTGGAATCAATGATCTAGAATATGCAACAGTGTGTCCCATATTTTAGGGCTTAACTTGATTTCTGTTTAACAGAGACAGTTATCCTTTACTTAAGGGGAAATAGGATTGGAACATCCCTCTTCAATCTGGCATTTTTCACATTACATTTTCAAGTAATTAACACAGTATTAATGGTTATTACTAACATCTGTTTCTTCCAATGACAAATGTCTAGAATCTACACCAAAAAGATATTTTATGAGATCAAATCTAAAGATGCCAACCCTAAAGTGTGGCAGTTAGGAATATCTGGGATAATTTGTGTCTAACACTAGATCTACTAGTGAGTGAGGTTTTACGACGATTTTAGCAATATTCCAGCAATATCACGGCAGGGGACACCAGGAATGGGCTTCACACATTGTACCCGTGTCGGGAATCGAACCCGGGTCTTCGGCGTGACAAGTGAACGCTTTAACCACTAGACTACCCGACCACCCCTCTAACACTACTAATTAAAACAAACAAAAACAATAGTAATCATTTTTATAAAATATCTTTAAAACAAACACCTCAAAATCTGTGAACCTTTCTGATTATTAACTGGTTGTATATGAGACAATACAACAAATGAAGTCAGAACCCATTTATGAAGAATATCCCAAAACATTTACATCTATCGAATGGTGTATGATAAAGTAAACATAGTATGAATGGGGACACAAAAAAGTGCTTTTCCTACTGTACCCATGTAAAGAATTGAACCATATGCAAGTTAACACATCAACCACTTGACTAAACCTGCACATCTGTTGGTGAGTGAGTGAGTTACACTAGGTTATCGCTGCTTCGAACAGTATTTCGTTTATATCATATTGTGCCAGTTTGATGTGGGAGGAAGGTCTGCCATGTTCTAGGTCTTACAAGTTTACCACTTTGGTGACACCCATGAGCATGCATAAGGTGCTGACAAACCTAGAATGAAAACCTCTTCACAGTGAATTGCAGAACCTAAGACATGAGTTTTGTTTAGTTTGTTTTTTTACGCCGCAAAATTCAAGCTATATGATGGCAGTCTATAAATAATCAAATCTGGACCAGACAATCCAGTGATTGCCATCATGAGCATCGGTCTACACATCTGGGATATGATAAAATGCATCAACCAAGTCAGCAAGCCTAACCTCCCGATCCCGTTAGTCGCTTCTTATGACAAGCTTGGGTTGCTGAAGACCAATTCTAACTCAGATCTTCACGGGACCCATTATCATGTGAAACAAGGACATATTTGTTGTGTGACGATTGAGATCCATCTTGTTGTTTGGCAGCATACACTTAATACAGGATTTCAACATGTAAACAGAATAATTTCTTTTGTTGTAAACAACAGACATCATATACAACTCAAATGGATATGTTTTTTAACAAGGACAATAAGATCATCTTTACCTGGAAGTTGTGTCATAGAGGGAAGGCCGGGCACTTAGTGGATGGTCGAATGTGGTCGTGCCACTGTTATGACTGCAATAGAAATAAAGACAGTTTGAAAGCTTGTCAGATGTTCTGACATCTGTCATGACATACTAGTATATGATTTACCAATAACTGGTTCTGGTATCCATGGTAATCAAAGCAAAAGGTAAGTGGAATTGACATATGAAAAGCTAATGAAAATTACATTTTAAATATTGTTTTGTACTAAAATATGCTATCAAGGAATGCCAGTGCTGGGGTAAGAACATCAATAGAAGATTGCAAATTCTTAGAATTATTTGCATGCATATTTCAGGCAAATGTCTCTGTCAAGAACATAATCTAAACGATTACATGTACATTAAACATTGAAGGTTATTAGCATGATTAGCAATGAGTAATTTGACATTTTCAAGCAAAATATTGATTATTTCCGAAAGATGTTACATCATAATGGGTACATCCTTAAAAAACAAAAGTCATCAAAAGATGACAAATCCCCCTGGCCCCACAAATTCGACAGAACAAATCATTTGACTGTTAATTTAACATGTTTAATTCCAACTTGATGAGATAATTTCTATCTTATCTGTCTGTCCGTATGCAAGAGTAGTTATTGTGGTATCAAAACAATACCATGGAATTGGGATTCAGAACTTTGTATTTCTATGTCACATACACACCAATATGAATAGGGTCAAATTCAAAGTTGTTGTCATGGAAATGGAAAATATATAAATTTTAAAAATCCTTAAATAGCAAAAGGCACCAGTTGACAACCTGGTCTTTGTGTGTGCACAGTATCAAGAAAGAGTACCTATTAGTTTTAGATGTAGGGTCAGGACAAACACACTACTCATAATGAACAGAGTCAAAGCCAAACTTGTTGCCATGGAAACAGGAAATAATAAAAAAAATAAAAATTCCTAAATAGCAAAAGGCACTTCAGACCTTTATTAATACAGTAGCAAGTTGGATGAAACAGCTTGAATAGTTTTTTAGTTCTTCTCTGGAAACGACACATACCTCCGTTTCAGCTAAGGCTAACTTTCTTCCATGGAAACAGGGAAAAATGTAACTTTAATAAATCCCTATATAGGAAAAGGCACCACTTCAGCCCCTCGTTAATACATGTAGCAAGTTTGGGTGAAAAATCTTTCAGTTTTTAGGTTATGCTCTGGAAACAAAATACAGATTGTTTTATAACCATGCAACATATCTATCAATATATCAGACAACACTAAGAGATACAACAGTCTCTCCACAAACTAAAACCCAGACACATACGATGCATAATCCCCTGAATTGCCTCTTGTATATAAGGCATGACAGGATGGCACAGATGGGTGTGTTGGCATGTGACAGCTAGCTCAACACTGCGGTGGTGATACAGCAGTGAAACCGCAGTGAAACAGCTCCATGCATGTCACTCAACAATCTAGCTTGACCTCACATGACCAACTTGTACCCCTCAACATGGAAAATCTCAACTTTCTCAGTTATTATACGATCTTAACTTCCTTGTTGAGAGAGTGACATCTTTTGTTTTATTACGTAATATTTCATTAAATATGGAGTAATAGTGACATTTCCTGAAATACTATTTTGAGCATGTTAAGCAGATGTCAAACTACTATTAAAAACACAGAGGTCTTCTAAATGTCTTTCAAAGGCCTCAAAATTATTTTGGTTATAAACATGTTAGGAATGTCTGATGATCACGTCATCTCAGTCAAACATGAACGAGATGGAGGCAGATGAGTGTGGAATGTTAACATTTCTTACAAATATACTGGTAGCAATTAACCATGTTGTTTATCGCCACACTCAGAAATATTCCAGATACATGACGGAGGTCTGTAATTAATCTAGTCTGTAACAGACAATCCAGTGATTGACATCATGATCATCAATCCATGTGATTGGGATAGGATGATATGCATCAACCAAGTCAGCGAGCCTGACCACCTGGCCCTGTTAGTCGCCTCTTATGACAAGCATGGGTTACTAAAGACTAATTCTAAGCTGGATCTTCGCGGGGCCAATTAACCATGACAAACACTTGCACACCTTTATCTGGAATTGCCTACATCATGCATGGGAAGACATAATACATTTCAAACATGCATTTGGTTTACTTCTTTCATACTTTTTCAGATTTTATTAATCAACAAACTTTGACCATGTATACTGACCTAAACATGTCAAAATATGTGGGAGCCCCAAAATTGAGTGTCAATAAAATACAAAATTTAATAACAATTACAACAATCTTAAAAGTTTTAAAAGATCATAAATAATCATTTGCGTAAAATCTTAATAAAATTATCTTACCCAATAAATGCCACTTATGAGTGCAGAATTTGAATCCATTACTGTATCCATGATGAACACTAGGAAAATATTCAGCTGTTGGACTTATTATAAGGAGTGGCCTGGACACAAGTGGGTCCAGCTAATGGTCATGTGTGGCCACCATTACCTGTCGTCCACTCGCGGCCAGGTTGTGATCACAACCCTTCCAGTACGATCAGCATGACCCCAGGGCTTGTTTTCACCCCTGTGGATTACTTTACGGATCAACAATTATTAGGAACACTGCTGCAAGGCCAGATATCAGTGGAATGTTTTTCTTCATGTTTATTTTCAAAACTACAACAATGTACGTGGCAGCAATGTGTTATTTTGAATTCTGTAGATTAGTGGCCATACACCTTGTTAACAATTCACTTTGGTCTGCTTGATAAAGAGTGAGTGAGAACACATAGTTTCACACCACATTCAGAAATGGGAGCCATGAAGATCCGGGGTAGAATAGGTCTTCAGCAACCCATGCTTGCTGTAAAAGGCGACTATGCTTGTTGTAAAAGGCGACTAACAGGGTCGGGTGGTCAGGCTCGCTGACTTAGTTGCATGTCAGTCACTGGATTGTCTGGTCCAGTCTAGTTTATTTGCAGACCGCTGTCATATAGCTGGAATACTGCTGAGTGCAGCATTAACAACAAACAAACAAACATTCAGTAAAGGATTCATTGAGTCTTGGTCAGTCAAGCTAGAGGCTGACAGCATGAGCAATGATCCTCTCCTGACAAAGTTAAACATCTGTAACATTTTAATACTGAGGCCACAACTGTGTGACAATGGCATCCCAAAAAAATGTATGGGGGTATAAAGTGTATGTGAAATTTGCACAAAAAGTGTGTACAATGTACAATTATAAGTCATAGAAAGAGCATACTCCCTTGTACCTCAAAAGTTGTGAAATGTAGAAACAAAATTAGCAGCTGGAATATTGCTCATCATGCTGACTTTTGAAAAGTTGAAGTCATTTAACTCTTGTCTACTATCAATCTTATTGAAAGCTTCACCAAGGCCAAAACACACCACAAATCAAGCATGATGGACAATCTTGACCACAAGTGTTGACATGAAGGAGAAGTTTGCACAGATTAACCAAAACATAACCTCACATTTGTCTGACCACTCAAGCTGGCTGATATATAGTGCAAGAAAAAATTCTCAAAATGACAGTGACGGAGTCCGTTACTATGCCTAATAATATTTCCATCCATTTTGGCTTTAGTGACACTAGCAGATATCTGAATAAGGGTAAGCCATTAAAGGTCAGAGGAATCATGTGCTATTGTTTCGATGAAGTTCATTTGTCACTCTTTTTCGTGCCCACAGGTACATAACTCTAATGGAATAACAGAACACAAAGGGTAACACTGCTAAATGTACTACAGCACACATTAACAATGATTGTATTTTTAATAGGTTGTCATTAGCAAATTGACACCAGCCTCAGAAAATATTTTTGCCACAAGCATTGTTTGAAGGTAGAGATGATAAAAGAGACACATTAAGATTTTGCTTTGAGGCTCTCCATGACATTAAAAGTAAGATCAGCTACTTGTAATGGTTGTTTCCTTTCTGTATAATGAAACACCTAGTGCAGTGCCAACAACAGACTCTAGGACAGACTGCTGAGGGTTTTTTCACTGCACGAAACTGCATACAGGACATGGACAGATTTGGTGGTGGTGGTGTGATGATGTGGGCGGAAATCTCCTACTGTTGCAGAACACACTTGGTGCAAGTTCTGTGGAATTAACGACACAACTTTACATGGATGAGATTCTACAGCCACATGTCCTTCCCATTATGCAACAAGTGAACGTCATTTTCTAACAAGACAACGCCCAACCTCACACTGCAAAACCTTTTTTCAGGAATCACAACATCCAGGTCTGCCAGGGCCCTCCGTGTCTCCAGATTTAATCTCAATCAAACATTTCCGGGACGCACTGGATCAACAGCTGCGAGGATGTCAGTAACAACCACAGAACCTCTGACCATTGGCATTAACTTAATAACTGCAGGCAGAGTGGGTGAACATTCCCCAGGCCACAATTCAGGATCTGACTGCTTCCATGGGACGATGATGCCAGTCAGTTTTAATCTCTAAAGCTTTAAGTCTAATGGTGTCCATACAAGATATGGAGAAGAGATGACCATCCTCTTGAAAATTTACTGTTCCATGTCTGCCATATGGAACCTGGGTCAATGACAATGATGTGTGCCAATTTTGAACAATCAATTGCCATCTGTTGATTATGTATATGATACATAAAGTACATCACTTTATTGATTTATGATCCAGAAATCAACACTCACACAAGTAATTTGATTGGATGGCCATTTGTAACACATTGCTATTGAAATCAGGCTCAAAATGAAGCTATGGCAGTTATTTAGGCACAATGTATTTATCATAACAGAATAACTTCTTTGAGTGGCATTTAGAAGTTGGAATGGTAACTAAGACAAAATTGTTATGGATGAGCAACTTCTTCATGACAATTGGGCGACGTTTCGGAGAGATCAAGGATACCACATCCCTCCAGCTTATCATGATCTCATCAGTTTGCCAAAACAACACTGAACTATTATCTCCCCACTGGCTTTCCATACATTCCTTCTTAGTAATCCTTGTGTTAATCCCATACCCATCAATTACTGTACATCAACTCCATCTCTTGTATAAATTTGTCTTATCATAACTACCTATCAATCAGTGTACATCAACCTTATCTGTTATATAAACATCTATCTATTGTTATGTATATATATCATGCTCATACCTAGTTTGTACATCATTTGCTTGATAATGGTGTTAGAATCTACACCGAAACGTCGTCCCAATTGTAATAAAGAAGTTGCTCATCCATAACAATTTTGTCTTAGTCACAACAGAATAGATATATTGTAAACTGAAAATAGAGGAATGATACTTAGGCTGTTAGGAAACTGGACCAATACATTTCTACCAAACAGAAATGAAGACATGCTGTCCGAATTTGGAGATGAAGCTTGAGAAATGTACATGTGGAACTTGCCTGGATTGCTGAGTGAGTGAGTGAGTGAGTGAGTGAGTGAGTGAGTGAGTGAGTGAGTGAGTGAGTGAGTGAGTGAGTGAGTGAGTGAGTGAGTGAGTGAGTGAATTCATGCATACCTGTACACACCCAACTTAAAATTAACTTGGTATGGCAATTTATTTTGCATATTTTACGCAATTATGCAGGTGATCTGGAGCTCTGACCAAAGTCAGCTATATGATGGTGATCTGTAAATAATTGAGTCTGGACCAGACAATCCAGTGAGTTTTATCATGAGCATCAATCTACACAATTGGGATACAATACATGCTTCAACAACGCCGGCAAAGACAGATAAAAAATATTGAAATACAACTACTTACTCAAGAAAATATAAAGATCCATCCAGTGTGACAGCTTGTTCCCAGCCAGGGGGGAGGTCTAAACAAGGAAGAGAAGGACAATTACTTCTGTGCTGAAATGATTAATAACATTGTAATGATACAGAACACAAACATCATAAGTATAATCAAGCTATCAATGAAAGAAAACATATAACATATATAAACAGTGAAGAAAAATAAACAAGGGAGTTGACAAGAAAATACAATAATATTTTTTTAATAAAAAAGTAATTAATTATTCCTGAATTATGATGATAGAAAGATGCCCTGCACACATTTCAACTTGATGATTAATCTCTTGTATGATTATCCATTGTACACATTGTTGTTCTGATTATAAATGTTTTCAGTTAACCTGTTTTCGTTATAGTACTGGGTAGTCACTCACATCAAACTCTGCCATAGCTATTACATTATATTAGCCACCTGTTACTTGCAGGCAACAATTAATTACACACTGTACTTCAGTGTTAAATGTTCTCTGTATATTTGCAATTATGGTAATACTTTATTTATTTTGTGTAGAGTCACAACTAAAAAATATTAAAAAACATGACATGTACATTTTTATTTTCATTTTCAAATACTTATTGAACAAAGTTAAAAATACTGAAATTGTTGAAGAATGGAATCAATGAGGCATGAAACATAATTTTGTTAAAATAATTCACTTGGATATACTCAATATCATGACACATGAAATGTTACCATGTTTCTACCAATGTACAAGTACTACCAAATTAGCTTACGAACCGGTCAATTGTTATGAGGTGGCATGTGCGTGTTGGGGGAGGGGGGGGGGCAGCACACCTTGAGAGTGAGACAAGTGTGTGAGTTCAAATTTGGACACCATTTCAGCATTATTTCAGCCACATTTGGCAGTCAGGATTAGTCCACACCTTTACAAAATTAATACTTACTAAGGTTTCCCGTAAAATGTTTGAACTAACAGGATCATAATATCCCAGTCACTATGGTTATTTGCACTCACCCTCAAACTAATAACCTGAACATCACACCAGATTCTAAGAACCCACAACAGATTCTAAGAACCTACAGCAAGAGTATTTGTGATCAGCACTTTACCCTACTTCACTGAACATGCTGAATATAAAGGAGTAGTCAATAACAAATTGTTATTCCCATACCGTTATTCCCATACAGGGTATTATAGCCTTCAGTTTATGTGAGGTTTCTAACTACTCTCCCAAGTCTTATACCCTAACCATGCTAACACACCAGAATCAGTGATCAGGGATATTAAAGTACTCACGGAAATGAAAAAACAGGGTTTTTTTTCGATCTCAGATTTTAAATGAATGCAGTTAATATACAAAATATATAAATATTCAAACAACTCAATTAGTACTAATTGGGCCTTGGCACAAATACAGCGTATCAAAGGTTTTTAGGTCTTTTTACACGTAAAAGTGTGTAAAAATATGAACAAAACAGACTATTGTGAAACTGAGCATAACCAGGTGTTAGTAGATCAAGGTGAATGTCCATGACCTATGACACCTTGACGACAGGTGAAAACAGGTGTTTGAAACCCACGTGCATGGGATTTGTCAGTGGTTAGTGATTTGTGAGTTGCATTGTGGGATGGTGAATCATCGTCAAAATATCAGAACGTAAAAGTAACATATTCCCTTCTCAAACAACAACTTACATGTCATTATTATTATGTACATAAACATAGCTGTTATTTTTATTGTTGTTTCGATAACTTTTTTCCAGGCTAATTTGCATAGTGCCTATAGCCTGTTTCTGCCATGTCAATTTGGACTTAGTTTTATTTTTGAATGTTGAAAGTGCCTACAAATTACCTCCTGTAAAGTACATTTTGTATTGAGCACTGAGATAAAACTAGCAAATCCAGACTAGTACGTTTCCATTTGTTTTTTTATTTCGTATTTACATCTACGTTATGCTTTGTGTCGATTATTAAATCCAGCAAAACAGTTTTTTTTCATTTCCATGACTACTTTAATAGAATATTCTTGTGGGCGGGTAGGGGGTTGGCAAGCTGGGAAAAGGCCTTATGTTTGTTTGCTTGGTGTATGAATTCTCCAACACTACAAATCCAAAAGTTAGGAAAAAATATAATCAGAATGACAAGGCTATATTTATACTGCTGACAGAAAACATTGAAACGATCGTTTTGACCCAAAAATAAAACAAGGGTCTTTTATATGACCTAAACAGAATTTTGTCGAACAATAAATTGTCATTATCACATTACCAATTTAAATCAAACTTTAAGATGATTAAAACAATCCTGTACAATGCATTTTATTTCTTCTTTTTTTTCACCTACAGACCAAAAGTTTCAATATCAAACTATATATATATAAAAAAACAAAAAAAACTTGCAACATTCGGGAACATATGCATGTCAAGTGAACATTCTTTTATTTAACCTGAGGACAATTTTTTTTTTTAGAGCTTTTTCAAGAACAGATTACTTTGAACCACACCCACCTGAACCTCCCTCACCCCTACCCCAAAATAATTTTTGTTTTTTTGTTTCACGCCACACTCAGCAATATTCCAGCTATATGAGGGCGGTCTGTAAATAATCAAGTCTGGACCAGACAATCCAGTGATTGATATCATGCGCATCGATCCACGCATTTGGGATATGATGGTATGCATCAACCAAGTCAGCGAGACTGACCACCCGATCCTGATAGTCGCCTCTTACGACAAGCATAGTTGCCTTTTACGACAAGCATGGGTTGCTGAAGACGTATTCAATCCCGGATCTTCACGGGTCCCCAGCATAAAATGGTTGTCTCCTAACAGTAACTGTATTCTGCTCGTTTCACTCATTCTGTTTCCCGTTTTACCAGCCTGACATACCCTAGACCAGCCTGACATACCCTAGACCAGTCTGATATACCCTAGACCAGCCTGATATATCCTAGACCAGCCTGATAAACCCTAGACCAGCCTGATATACACTAGACCAGTCTGATATACCCTAGACCAGCCTGATATACACTAGACCAGTCTGATATACCCTAGATCAGCCTTATATACCCTAGACCAGCCTGATATATCCTAGGCCAGCCTGATATACCCTAGACCAGCCTGATATACCCTATACCAGCCTGATACACCCTAGACCAGCCTGATATACCCTAGACCAGCCTGATATACCCTAGACCAGTCTGATATACCATAGATCAGTCTGATATACCCTAGGCCAGCCTGATATACCCTAGACCAGCCTGATATACCCTAGACCAGCCTGATACACCCTAGACCAGCCTGATATACCCTAGACCATCCTGATATACCCTAGACCAGTCTGATATACCCTAGATCAGTCTGATATACCCTAGATCAGCCTGATATACCCTAGACCAGCCTGATATACCCTAGACCAGCCTGATATACCCTAGACCAGTCTGATATACCCTAGATCAGCCTGATATACCCTAGACCAGCCTGATAAACCCTAGACCAGCCTGATATACCCTAGACCAGTCTGATATTCCCTAGATCAGTCTGATATACCCTAGATCAGCCTTATATACCCTAGACCAGCCTGTTATACCCTAGACCAGCCTGATATACCCTAGACCAGTCTGATATTCCCTAGATCAGTCTGATATACCCTAGACCAGCCTGATATACCCTAGACCAGCCTGATATACCCTAGACCAGCCTGATATACCCTAGACCATCCTGATATACCCTAGACCAGTCTGATATTCCCTAGATCAGTCTGATATACCCTAGATCAGCCTGATATACCCTAGACCAGCCTGTTATACCCTAGACCAGCCTGATATACCCTAGACCAGCCTGATATACCCTAGACCAGCCTGATATACCCTAGACCAGCCTGATATACCCTAGACCAGCCTGATATACCCTAGACCAGCCTGATATTCCCTAGATCAGTCTGATATACCCTAGATCAGCCTGATATACCCTAGACCAGCCTGTTATACCCTAGACCAGCCTGATATACCCTAGATCAGTCTGATATACCCTAGACAAGCCTGATATACCCTAGACAAGCCTGATATACCCTAGACCAGCCTGATATACCCTAGACCAGCCTGATATACCCTAGACCAGCCTGATATACCCTAGACCATCCTGATATACCCTAGACCAGTCTGATATTCCCTAGATCAGTCTGATATACCCTAGATCAGCCTGATATACCCTAGACCAGCCTGTTATACCCTAGACCAGCCTGATATACCCTAGACCAGTCTGATATACCCTAGACAAGCCTGATATACCCTAGACAAGCCTGATATACCCTAGACCAGACTGATATACCCTAGACCAGCCTGATATACCCTAGACCAGTCTACCCTTACATACCACCAAATGCTCAAAACTGTGAAGGCCTTCTCCCTTGAGCCCTGTACCTGCACCGACTATGACACTGTCACCTTCACCAGTGTCTTCCTTGTTTACTTTCTAATTAAGCGTACTGCGTGTACAAACACTGGCTTGTGTGGTGCAAGACGTTACGGTTGACATGTGATGAGATTCAGCCACGAGGGATTTACCCTGACTTTGTCCTCACAACGTCTTAAGGGATCCTGTGTGAGTGGGATTTACATTCCGGTGTTGTAACATTTACCTGGTCAGTTACCTGTTGATTAGTAAAACACCTGTGGGCGGGGGAACTAATCAGATATTATCAGAATGATTAATATCTTTTTGTGGGAAGTTTATCATCATATGGAATATTTATCATTCAGCATTATGATGTTTAGATTAAAGACGCCAGAAACCATCTGCATTTAGTTAATAGTGCTCAACAAATTTACAAGAAAAATGATACCAAAAGCAGGCTACATTTACTACTCAAAAGAAGTTAAGGACTACATGAATCTTTCATCCAATTACTATAGTTGATCTGCCATGCCTAACAGTTTAACTACGGCATGTACAGTAACATGAAATAATCGGGTGGTCTCTAACTTCTTTCGAGTTGTATGCATTTTATCAGTTTAATCATTTTTATATTTCTAGTGGTTTTTCTTCCAAGGGTACGTCACA